CTTCATAGTGTAATCATCAGCTCATTTATAGAATTAGAATGGAAACAGCCACTGTTAAGCGCTCTGAGACTCTACCCTGCATGGAGGGCACTATATATGTGTTGTTGTTGTTGTTGTTATTGTAAGTGTAGCAAATCCTCCAGTTTCATTCTAGTAGAAATCCCATTTTAAAGGACTTTACAAGGTTCACTACATCAGTTGCTGTTTTGTACTGTTTTGAGTTTTTTGCAGCACCATGACAATGCAGTGTAAATCTGGGTTGCACCAGCAATGTCCCAGAAATAGCAATGAGATGAAGGGTTAATTATTTCTTGCAGCTAAAAAGAGGTTTGAGTGAATTTGATGAGCCCTTCTTTGAACTCCTGGAACCGATGAGTAGGATCGCAGTTGAACATATCATTGGAATGACAGCATCACAAACAATGACTGCACTTCAATACGGCACTGGAGTGCTGGAATGTAGCCTTAGATTACAGAATTAAACCCACATCTTGTGATACTCAGAGGTCAAAGTGCTACCAACAAAGCCAAGATGCTGCTTAATACCTCCTCTTCCTAGTGCGGGGATCTTGAAGGGAGGTGTGGCACCAGAGGTAATGTAGTACAGAACATAGCTTGAATATGGGGCCTTCTGGCTTTCATATGTCAGCACCACACCAAACACGTTTTTTTTTATGCTTTGGCACCTTCCTAACTCTCTGATCTGCTCACTCCTCTACCCACCTCTTCCACTCAGCTGGCTTGGGTCTCCTTCACATCCCTCATCCCCTCTTCTTGATAATTGGTGTTAGTACTCTGTCTTTGATCTCTGGAACTCCTTGCTTCAATCTCTCCATCTTGCCCCCTCTTTGACCATCTTCAGATTACACCTGAAGACTATTCAACAGTGCCTTTGGTCACCTCCCCTCTCTTTCCGGCTCAGCGTCAACCCATGCCACTCTTAAGTGCTCCAAGACTCCGCTCACATGATGGGCACTAAATAAATACAAGTTGCTGCTGTTATTTACCAAGCTGGTTATCAGGGTTTAATGCCTTGCTCACCAGCTGGTAATTTTGTTGTGTGAATTTGTGATGCTTCCAGCTTGGAACACTGCCCGTATTCCTATAATTCTAGGAGTTATGCTGTTTTATCTTGTTGCTTGCTGGATTTATATCTTGTGATGTTTTGAAATGTTGCTGTACGGAACAGAGTGAATGAAGCCAAACGTGCTTCATCTCCTCCCAACGTCATTTGAGTTAAAATAGAATTGATGCTGGTAAAGTAATAAGACCATTATTACTAAAGAAGGAACTCTGGTTTATATCATCACTCCTCCCACTGAGCCTGGGTGCTGAGGTAAATTGTAATGGCCTAATTCCACTCCTGCTGTGATCAGCTAACACAGCACAGTTTGAGCATTGAATTTGAATGATTTTTAAAAGCTGATGTTGCGGTCTTAGTTAATCCCTTACTATTCAGAAAGAAGCAGAGACAGTGAAGGTTAATGCTTAGCAGAATTGTTTTTGCAGATTAAACTCCAATTTCTCCTCTTTGGGATTTATGGGATTTTTTTGTCACATTCACCATTTCGAAATTTCTGCTTTCTGACACATTCCCTCCAAGTCCTTTGAGATTTTCTGTTGCTGCATTACATGGGACAGAAGAGTATCCTAATGTGCAATTTTTTGTGACTTAATAAACGTAATGCATAACTGCAATGAGGCAAAAGTAGGAGTGGTGAGTGGGGGGAGGAGGAAAACTATGTTGAATATAAATGCTGACACGGATTAGTTGGCATTCTTTCTGTGCCAAATCACTCTATGTAACTCCATGTAAAAAAAATTCCAGGGGGAAGGTAATAGTAATAATCCTTACATTTGATACAGCGCCTTATCATGTCATTGATAACTCCTCCCTCCATAGGCTGCAGATCATCCAGAACTTCGCACCCCCTACCATTCTGCCCGCTCCCTCCACTCAGCGGACCTGCTTCACGTCCCCCGCCTCGCCCGCTCCACCATAGGCGGGCGGGCCTTTTGCCACTCTGCACCCACCCTCTGGAACTCCATCCTGCAAGTTGCTCCACCTTGCCACCTCCCTTTCCTCCTTCAAGACGCATCTCAAGATCATCCTCTTCGACCGTGCTTTCAATCGGAGTCCTGTAGCTCAGTGGTTAGAGCACTCGTTTTGCAAGTGAGAGACCTGAGTTCAATTCCAGGCAGGGCGAAACCTTGGGCAAGTTTCCTTACTCCACACGCCTAATAATAATCCCTCCAAAACCCAAAACAATAATAAAAAATTGGTCATTTTCAATCTACGACTGTTTGTGGGACATTGCTGTGCGCAATTGGCTGCCGCGTTCGCCCACAAATATACAGTCAATTCACTTTACAGTGAGTTCTGTGAAGCACTTTGGGACGTCCTCCCGACGTGAAAAGCGCTATATCAAATGCAAGGATTAATCACCCTACTTCCCCCACTGCCCTCCACCCTCCCCAATCTCGCCCCCCAGCTCACGTCCAAAACTCTGACTGTCCAGCACCTTGGGACGTCCTCCCAATGTGAAAGGCGCTGTACAAATGTAATTTTGTTGTTGTCATTGTTGAGACATCTCAAAGCACTTCACAGAATATATTGTAAAGCTAATTAACTGTGTATTTTGTCGGTGAATATGTGAAATGTAATACCTGAAGTGGCGATGGAGTCAGATTTGTGTCAACATTTTAGATAGAATTAGGCACAGAAATTGAGGAGCATGAGATAGTTGTGTAGTTTTTAGTAATTTTTTTTATTGATATTTTTATCTTTTTAACTTTGTGACCTGCCATATGGACCACAGTAGACTTTTCTGGTCCTGTATATTCCTGCATGTTGTTGCTGTAGAGGTAGTGGTTAAATATAAAAAAAACTTGTTAAAATGATCACTAAAGATCCTTTCCTCTTGGTAGAATCCATTCCAGGTTTAGTCCAGGTTTAAGCCTTCTCCTCTTTAATATCTACATGCTCCCACTTGGTGACAGAAACCGCAGACATGGGGTCAACTTCTACATGTATGCGGATGATACCCAACTCTATCTTTCTGCCTCCACCCTCAACTCCAGGACCACTGCTGTCCTGACAGACTGTCTGTCGGACATCAAGTCCTGGATGAGTGCAAATTTCCTACTGTTGAATGTGAACAAGACTGAGGCCCTCCTGATTGGGTCGCGCCAGCGCCTCAGCACCTCAGGCTCTGGCAGCATCAACCTCCATGGTTGCACACTTCAACTCACCAGCCAGTCAGGAACCTCGGTGTCTTGTTCGACCCTCAACTGTCTCTTCTCCCCCACATTCAACCCATGACCCGCTCTGCCTTCCCTCACCTCCGTAACATCGGCCGACTCCGCCACTACCTCACCCCTCAGGCCGCTGAAACTCTTGTTAATGCCTTCATCACCTCCAGGCTCGACTATGCAAACCCCCTGCTTGTCGGCCTTCCCAACTCCTCCCTCCACAGGCTGCAGATAATCCAGAACTCTGCAGCCCGTGTCCTCTCCCACACCAAACTCCGTGACGCCATCTCCCCCACTCTCGCCCGACTCCATTGGCTCCCTATCCTTCAGAGGATCCAGTTCAAAATCCTGGTCCTCACATATAAAGCCCTCCATGGCCTCGCCCCACCCTACCTCTGCGACCTCCTAACCCCCTACCAACCCGCCCGTTCCCTCCGCTCAGCCGGCTCTGGCCTGCTCCATGTCCCCCGACCTATCCACGCCACTATTGGTGGGAGAGCCTTCAGCAACTCTGCCCCCACCCTCTGGAATTCCATCCCCCAGTCACTCCACCTCGCCCCCTCCTTAGCCTCCTTCAAGTCTCGCCTCAAGACCCTCCTCTTCGACCATGCCATCGGCCACCCCCCTTCCCCTCCCTTCCCACCCCCCCAACCCCAGCTCAGGTCTAAAATGCTGTACTCTGTCCAGCGCCTTGGGATGTCCTCTCGACGTGAAAGGCGCTATACAAATGTAATCTTGTTGTTGTTGTTGTTGTTGTTGTAATCCAAAACCACAGATTGACAAGTTTTGGGGGGATAGAATGTTCCAGGGTGGAATGCCCCTTAGTTCAGATCTGTGAACTATAATTGTTAAAAATAACAATTGTAGAAGATGTTTTGATTATGTTTCAGAATTCTTTAATATCCTTGCTCCAGTGAGAGTAAAGGAGTATTTTAATGTCAGTATTGTGTGGAGTAAACACAGTTCAAACCTCCTGCACTGCCCGTACAACGAGTTATATTTCCTAAAAATGTTAAATGTGCCATGTACATCAATAATGTTATCCTGAGGGAGCTGAACCTGGCTTGCAGTTCCAACAACAATATCCACCCTCTGATACCACACTGAAGGTGTACTAAAAAATGTGAAAGTTGACAAGCTTTGATTGTAAGGACACCTGATGTTGTCTGCACCTTAATTCCACATATGCACATCTTCCATATCCAGCTCGGTTCTAGCACTTCTTAATTCTGTGAGTTGTGCACTGCAGCTAATTCTGTTTGCAACACAGCATGTTGAGAGGTATTCTCCATTTGTCAGTAATTTACTGAGAGACAACATGCAGCTATTGCAATCGCTGAAATTCACTGAGCAGCAGACATTAACCCCTTGATGTCTTGTTGCAATGTCAGCTATGGTAAAACATGACCTTCAAGTGCTTTTAGGAAGCAACAATGTGCAGGTCTTTGAGATCATAGTCACTGGGCAAACACTCCAGCTGGGGAGTGCTGGATTTTTGGAAGTGCTGCTCTTGGATGAGATGTTAAGCCAAGGTCCTGTTTGCCTGGACATTAAAGATTCCATAATAGTATTTGAAAAAAGAAAAGGAGGTTCTCCTGGTGTCCTGCCTAACAAGCTCCCAGATAAATTGTTCATTCACATTGTGGTTGTTTGTGGAACATTGCTGTGTACAAATAATCTGCCACGTTTTCTTACAAATTTCCAGTCACTTCTCTTTACATAAATAATGTCTTGTATCTGTCTCCTAGTGTATCAGACTGACCTCCTAGCAAATCAAGAGATCAGAAGTCTTCAGACAACGTCGTACAATGCAACATTTCTGGTTTATTCTTTTCCTAGTTGGATCTGGATTCCTGGGTTGCTGTTGCAATAACTTAAATACTTCAGAGGTTAGGCTACTTCTGGTGTCCTTTGATGGCTTCAGAGCAGATTACATTCAACGCTACAGCTTTCCAAATCTTCAGAAAATAATCGCTGATGGAGTCTACGTTGATCATTTAAAAAATGTATTTGTTACCAAAACCTTCCCAAATCATTACTCCCTTGTCACAGGCCGCTACGCGGAGAGCCACGGTATTGTAGCCAATGACATGTATGACGCAGCCACCCACAAGAACTTTTCAGTGTATGGAGGAAGAGTTCATGATTCATTTTGGTGGGATGAGGCCACTCCAATTTGGGTGAGTAATGAACAGCAAGGACACAAGAGCGGTGCATCAATGTGGCCTGGTACCGATGTGGCGATAAATAATACAGTCCCTTCCTGTTACATGAAGTATGACCATAATATTTCATTTAATGAACGTGTTGACCATATTATAAACTGCTTTACCAACTCATCTGAACCCATCAACTTTGGTACCTTGTACTGGGAAGAGCCAGACGCCAGTGGACATCGTTATGGACCAGACAGTCCGCAAATGAATGATGTGTTCAAACAAACGGATAACCACATTGGCTATTTGATAGATCAACTTAACAAGAATGGACTCTGGAATACAATTAACATGATTATAACCAGTGATCATGGAATGACCCAGCTTTCTGAAAAATTAGTTATCAGGCTTGATAAATGTCTTCAACGTGAATACTATAATTGGGTGACTCTATCGCCAGTTGCATCTATATTGCCTCTTAAAAGTAAGTAGTGAAACATTCAGATTGGTAAGTTGGTATTTTCAGCACAAAAACAAATTGAGTATTTTTATGATGGGTAGTAGGTGATCCAGGGATCCAAAAATGAAATTTGGTATTCTAAACGTAAAGTTATTCAAATGTTGTGTTCTCCTGATGGCATAATCTTAGGGAAAGTTTCATTGACTTTTATTACAGTATTGGTTCAAAAAGTGATAATGTAACAACTGTTAGTCCTTCATGGTGGATATTGTTGTGCAGAACTTAGAGAGCACAGAACAACATTATTTCAGAAACGCATTCAAAATGGGATCAACTGGACCAGTGGTTCGATAAAATTATCAAATTTTACTGGTGGCCACAGTGCTAGATTTTTCCTAAAAACAATATGAAAAATAAAGGAAATATAGACATCTAATGGTTTTCATTTATTTCTATACATTTGACAAACCACATTTGGGAAAACCATTTTTTCACAAAACCTTGCATAGACGGTAACAAGAGCCGCACAATAAATGCAAACCATTTGAGATGTGCATAAAAATATTATTATTGGAGACCAGAACTGTTGGTACAATTGGCTAATGGCAGCTGAACCCCCAGGGTGGCCGTGGGGTGGGGGGGCAAAATCATGCAGGTAGCCTCCAGTCATAAGTCTAGAGGGCTCGGTTAGTGAAGCCACCAGGATAGCACTTGCCCATGATTGTTGCCAGTTCCTGGTTTTGCATTGCACACTGTTGTTGCTTGGTGACTGATTTTCCCAGTGCTGATCTGCCCACTGTTTGATTTTCACAATTGCACTCATTTTCAGAGCGCTAAACTCAGCTTCATGCTGCCATGCTTTTTCTACGTGGAGAGGTCACAACTCAGAGAGTTTTTGTACAGAGCTTTAAACTCAGAGAGATAAATGAGTGTCATTGGGTGTAGTCTTAATAGCAGACTAGTAGCATTCTATAAGATGATTCACCAGTAGAGGAGCATTTTAATGACTATATGCTGTATAGCCATTCCTGCCCTGTGAAGTCACACTGCCTCACCTAACATAGTCAGGAATTGGGTTCATTGTCTGATGAAGTGCATTTATTTATCATCAATAAATATAAGTAATATGGTTATTCCAAACAATTTTAAGACTATGAAGAGATTTGAAAATTTTGATGCAGAAATCTTTTTCTGACTAAAACATTTAAGAACAAGGGATTAAATGTAAAAATGTTTTTGTCAGACGGATGTCTTGACACATCGTGCTTAAGAGTAGCCAAACAAGACTGAAAGTTTGATGTATATATGACGCTGTCACCCCTATTTCTGGAACAGAATGTGTACATAAGGGATTATTGCATGCTGGTTGCTTATGCTTGTCAGTCTTTTGAATGGAACTACCAATTTGGTGGTTAGATTTACCATAGAAGAGTAATTTGGTGGTGTGGACTTGAACCAAAAATAGCTGGATTGGGAATGATTAAGTTACTAGTCTGTTCTTATTGGCAGGCAGGAAAGCTTAGCTGTAACTGGGCTGAAATTGAATCTAACTCTTGAGTTTAAAGGACCATGTTTCAAGAAATAGCATGATACAGCCTAGCCCTGTACCTGTGTGAAACAATTCATTATTTTCTTAATCGGCCTTGTAGCTCAGTGGTCAGAGCACTCCCCTTGCAAGCCAGACACCTGGGTTCAATTCCAGGCAGGCGAAACCTTGGGCAAGTTTCCTTACTCCACACGCCTAATAATAACCCCTCCAAAACAAAAATAAATTGGTCATTTTCAATCCACGACTGCTTGTGGGACACTGCTGTGTGCAATTGGCTGCTGGGTTTCACCCACAAATATAGTCAATTTATTTTACAGTACATTCTGTAAGGCGCTTTGAGACGTCTCAAAAATGTGATAAAGTGCTATATCAAATGCAAGGATTGTTATTATGATGAAGTCCATGACCACTTTTTTAACTGGGGAATTGTTGGCTAGAAACTTGGTTCAGTCATCACCTGAACAGCCAAACAGAACAGGAGTTTAAAAATTCATCCAAAGGTGGGCACCTCTGACAATGCAGACCTCCCCCAGAACTGTACTGGATTAGCAGGGTACTATTATCATTATTAATATAATTATTATTATTATGAGCTCAAAGTCCAGACATGGGGCATGAACCATATTTGTTTGACCCAGAGATGAGAGTAATACCAATTGAGTCAGGAACTAAAATGATCAGAGGTTATTGGAATTCGGGATAGATATATTGAATGAATCTTGTGGGACATCCAATGGGTTGGTGATTGTCTAATTTTACCTGAAATTATTAGTATTATATTTGAACAGTACATGTCAATAACTAGCTAACTCAGTCAAAGTTAATAACTTGGTAACCCAGTTTCATATCATTGCTGTTTGTGGGACTTTGATCACTGAAAATTATGTGCCAAGTTGTTTACAGAAATGCACAGTCACTACACTTTACATTATATTCTGAGAAGCGCTTTGAAATATCCTCCCAATGTAAAAGGCGCAGTATCAAATGAAAGGATTAAGTAATATTTAATATAATGGAAGAAATTCCTTTGGTGTAAGTTCTGAGTTATTGGGACTAGATCACAAGAAATTAAAGGCATGTGAATCTTATTTTGGTACAGTATATTAGTAACTTTATAGATATATTTTTTTTGCAACCCGTTGCTTCAGTGACATCTAGGGACATGTATAAATACTGCAAGAGTGTAAAGTGCTTTATGTTTGTCTACTATATATTTTTGTAGTTTTATATAGCACCTTTTACATCGGGAGGACGTCTCAAAGTGCTTGACAGGAATTACTATAAGGCATCGTGACTGTGATTATGAACATGTTTTTTTTTAAATTTGATCCTGGACTAAACTCCATATCCCTATCACACCTATTCCTGCCAGGCTTCACTGGCTTCCTATAACTGAACAGATCGACTTCAAGATCCTCACACGCATCTTCAAATCCCTCATGCCGTGGCACCTCCCTACCTCTCCGACCTGCCTTGCTCCTCGTTTTCCATCTTCAGGTCGAGCCTGAAGTCCTTCCTCTTCGACTGTGCCTACGGTCAACTTCCTGCAGCGATGTCCGCAAATGTCAAGCACTGTGGGACACTGCCTTCCGTGAGGAGTGTTGTTGATCTCAAAAGGGAGAAGACCTGAGTGGACCTGTTGGAATTCTAACCCATTCTACTGCTGCACAGGATGGTTACAAATTATGGTCAGGTTTGAAATAAGATTTGGTGTAAATCTATTTTTATTTATTTATATTTCTTTTTGCAGATACAAGTTATGTCTATGAAAAGTTAGCAAAGTGTGATCCTCACATGAAGGCATATTTAAAAGAAGATATCCCAGATCGTTTTCATTACAAGTACAATGAAAGAATTCAGCCCATCATTCTTATTGCTGAGGAAGGATGGACCATTGTTCAGAATGGAACCATTTATATGTGTAAGTTCAGGGTTAAAACAATGTTTATGCTTTTGAAATCCCCCAAAACTACGTGTATGTTATACTGAGTTATTTTTCCAACATCACTTTAATGATAATATTCCTTGTATTTGATATAGCGCCTTATCACACATCGTTGAGATGTCCCAAAGCACTTCACAGATTATACTGTAAAGTGAATTGACTGTACATTTTGTGGGTGAAATGCGGTAGCCAATTGCGAACATCAGTGTCCCACAAACAGTCGTTGATTGAGTGACCACATTATAATTATTATTATTCTTTTAAACATTTTTTGAAGGTATTATTTCCCGCGGAAAGCGATCTGCCAACCGGGTTCCTACTTACAGAAGTGTGGAGTAAGGAAACTTGCCTAACATTTCGTCCTACCTGGGAATCAAACCCAGTTCTCTCGCTTGCAAGGCGAGTGCTCTAACCACTGAGCTACTCCACTTTAGTAGTTATGCCACATTTTTAAAAATACCTGATCTGATGTAAAATTTTGATCCACCAATTGTTTCTAATGCTGTAGTAATAATACTTACATAATACTTACAACATTTCCACATCGGAAGAATGTCTCAAAGCCATTCACAGGATGTTCTGTAAAGTGCAGTAAGTGAGTATTCTGTAGGCAAAAGCAGCAGCAAATTTTGCACAGCAATGTCTCACAAACAGCTATTGAAGTAAATATGTGCCATTGCTAGCCAGGAAACCGGGAGAAACTCCCTAATCTTATTGAAAAATAATAAACCTTGTATTTGATATAGCGCCTTATCACATCTTCAAGGGGTCTCAAAGTGCTTCACAGAATATACTGTAAAGTGAATTGACTGTATATTTCATGAGCGAAATGCAGCAACCAATTGTGCACAGCAGTGTCCACACAGTCATGGATTAATTTTTTTAAAGTAATTATTGTCCCCGGAAAAGTGATCTGCCTGTCGGCTGACAACCGGGTTCCTACTTACTGCTTGGTAAACCGAGGCGTGTGGAGTAAGGAAACTTGCCCAACATTTTGCCCTGCCAAGTCTCTCGCTTGCGAGGCGAGTGCTCTAACCACTGAGCTACAGGACTCCAAAATGCCATGGGAACTTTAATATCCACTTAAAGAGGCAGACTGGACCGGTTTAACATTACATCTGAAGGTCAGGGATGCAGACACCCCCAGCACTGTATTGCTGCATCAGTGTAGTCTATGAGAGTTCAAACTCCCTTCTGACTCAGTCACTGATGCTGCCAACTAAGTCACATTGAAAGAGGAAGAAAAGTTAGTTTTGAATGTGACCTTTCACGCCATGTAACTCATATCAGACTTTCCTGGTAGTTAGTTGAGTTCTTACATTAAAAACAGCACGTATGGACATCCTTTTAATGTGAAAGGTGGGATACAAAAAATGTTAATCTGTATTACATAAATGTTAAATCTGGCTGGAGGGGAGGGTTATAAAAATAAGCTTCATTTAGATTTGAAGTTCTTGCTTGTTTGACTTCATACTAATTATGTTGCAGTTGTCTCTACAAAGACTGAAAATATGTTTTTACATTCTTTTCCCACCAGTGGGTGACCATGGTTATGATAATGACTTACCCAGTATGCATCCCCTTTTGGTAGCCCATGGACCAGCTTTTCGAAAGGGTTACAAAACCAATACGATCGACAGTATTGATGTCTACCCATTGATGTGCCACATCCTGGGACTGAAGGAGGAGTCTAACAATGGAACATTTGCACATGTGAGGTGTTTATTGGTGAAAGAGCTGTGCATTAACTTACCTGATGTGATTGGCATTGTGATCGGTTCCTTAATGGTACTGGTAACTTTGCTGTGCCTTATACTACTAATGAAAAGGAGGGTGTCCCCCACACGTCCATTTTCTCGTCTCCAGTTACAAGATGATGATGACGACGATGATCCATTAATAGACTAGACTAAACCTACAAGTGTGGAACACCTTGTATAGCTGGTGATAGTGGAATCTCTGCATTGTTTTAATGATGGGAGAAAGGCTTTGAAGTTTATTTTTAAATTAAAAATATGTAAATATCAGCTATTAACAGAAAGTGTGGTTGCCTATCTTGTAGTTCTTGTTTATTCTCTGTTTTTTCCTAACATGGAAAATGTCTAAAAGATCCCTGCACTTTTGAGTTCATCGTATAGGTTCATATGTTGCCCGTTTCCATCTATGCAAATATTCTATATAAACTATAATAGGTGGCTGAGTGCACACTAATTAAAGCATTGTAAAGAATAATTCCTAAAGATTTTGAAGGGGGTGAGGAAATAAAGTACATAACGTGTCCCATCTCAATGAGAAAGGGAATAACTATCAGAGAGAGAGGATGAAGGTCGAGGGAAGAAACCACAAATCCTTTATCCCCATATCCTAAAGGTGGATGTTACTGAGTACACTGGGTGTGAGTGAGGTATGTGAAGGATGAGGATCCTACGAGGGTCAAGTTATTCAATGTTTTTATTACTACAATAATGTTTGATGTCAGCATTGTGTTGTGTGAGATAAGGACTGACCTAGGAGCTTGACATATCCATAGACTTGTCAGGAGAATCTAATCCTAACATATCACTCGTCTATATTTAGTTTTGTTCTGGAATGCAACCTCAGGATCGTCTGACCTTAGAAGCTATAAATAAAGTCCCGAGAGCACATACTGTCAAAGAAACTGATATACCAAAATTATGTAGCAATAGGTGACCAAACTCTTTATAAATATATTTATAAAAGTGGGTTGTTTTCATTTTGCACATGAAGTTAGAGAACTGAAACCTCACTATATCTGCATGCCTCAGTAGTTTTCTCTGGTCTCTAGTGTTCAGGATTACTGTGACCCTTTAATTTGTGATGTCTGAATGCTATGTAATCATGTGACACTTGTGATCAGACAGTGAGGTTTCATAATGTAAAATGGTTGTGTATGCTTTCTGCTGTTTTAAACATTCACATAAACAACTTCTGAATGCGATCAGCACAATTTAGCATTTTACCTGTAAACCTATAAATGCAGCCTTTCATTATTGGTTAGTTGTATCTCAGTGGTACTGTACTTGATAAGGGATTCTCATTTTAATCTTTTTTAATTAGTATATAGCATTCTCTCTCACTCTTCCTCCAAACCAACTGAAATTGTGTTGTAAAATGTGAGAAAACTAGACCATCAAATGATGTACTATTTCTAAATGTACATGTGGAATTAACACCACCACTGGTTATTTGTCCTTGTCAAAATAAGAAAAACAGACATTGCTAAAATGACTGGTTGTCATACGTACAGAGGCTATTACTCTATTTTCATCAGGTTTCTTGGTGTGCAGTTGAGACTATTTTATTGAAAGTGAGTTCACATTTATTCATATTCATTATTTTTGGTGCATGTTAATGGAATTGTGGGAAAGGTGGGGTTTAACTTTATCTTTATTTTACAGGGTAATGCTTTAAACCATTTTGGGGTATGGGGGCAGGGAGATTTTTGGTCTAAAACTCTAGTTAATTTAAAATTATTGTCTAAGTAATTAACAGGATCAGATCTTAAAGTTTATATTTAAAATTTCAGTGGACTACGGCCTGCTGTCTGCTGGTTTTATAATCAAATTGCGCATTGTTCATGGTTGTACATTTGCACTTTTTATGGATTGTAATATATCGCTTCATTCGTTGGTCATAAGTTCTTGTTTGGTTTGTGTGTGTAATAAATTGTTTTCCTTTTACAAAGGGTAATTTGTCTTTTGTTGACTACTGGAATAATGGTCCATTTCATTAGAATATATTAGAATATACAGCACAGAAACAGGCCATTCGGCCCAACTGGTCTATGCTGGTGTTTAATTTCCTCATGGGCCTCCTCCTTCCCTTCCTCAACTAAGAAGCATAACCTTCTATTCCTTTCTCCCTCATGTACCTATCTAGCTTTCCCTTAAATACATCTATGCTATTTGCCTCAACAACTCCTTTTGGTAGCATGTTCCACATTCCCACTACACTGTGTGAAGAAATTTCTTCTAATTTCCCTATTTGATCTATTTGTGACTATTTTATATTGATGGCCCCTGGTTTTGGTCTCCCCCACAAGTGGAAACATCTTCCCTATGTCCACCCTATCAAAACCTTTCATCATTTTAAAGACCTCTATCAGGTCAGCCCTTACCCTCCTCTTTTCAAGAGAAAAGAGTCCAAGTATGTTCAGCCTTTCCTGATAGGTATAACCTCTCAGTTCTGGGATCATCCTTGTGAATCTCCTTTGCACTCTCTCCAGTGCCTCTACATCCCTTCTATAATGTGGGCACCAGAACTGCACACAGTACTAAGTGTGGTCTAACCAAGGATCTATAGAAGTTTACCATAACTTCCCTGCTTTTCATTTCTATCCCTCTAGAAATGAACCCCAATGCCTCGTTTGCCTTTTTTATGGCCTTATTAACTTGCGTTGCCACTTTTAGTGAATTTATAAGTGTACCCCTAGATCTGTTTTATGTCTTGTAGCCAGCTTGCTATCCATTCTGCTATTTTTCACAAAAATAAAGCAGTGTGTCATGATGACATCCTGGTGTGCACGTTTCATGTTTACACAACTGTAAAGTAAATTTAGTGAAAGTCGGAGTGCTACCCAATTGTCATACTCCATCACCTTTACATTGCTCTATGAAGACCTAATGTAGTTATGACGTGTGTAGGGAACATTGTAAAGATTGTAAAGAATCACAAAATTAAGAATCACAAATAGAAACAATGAAAGGATGGATTGTACTATACGGTACTAGCTGGTCAACTGCAAGGCTTTCTATATCCTAATCACTTTGTGGGTGAAAAATGATTGTCATGATACAATGATATTCTCATGACAAGTCATTATAAAGTTAGAAAAAATCAAGAGAAAACATTTGTAAAATTTAAGTGACACTGGAGGGTGTATGAAATACCATAACAAATTGTTGTTCATGGTGAGAAAATTGAAAATTACAGAAAGTCACTGTCAAAAAAACACTTTATTTCAATGTTACACAATTCATTGAGCAGAAAGAACTCCTGTAGTCCACACAATCAAGTTGCAGTGCTTTTTCTTCTCAATTACCTTTCATAAAGTATCATAGCAGATAGACAAGAAACATATTACAACACAGTTCAACAACTCAAATTGCAAATTCTGCAGATTTTCCCCATTTTACCTTTATTTTACAAAAGAATCCAACTATTTCAATCACTTTCCTGCTGCAAAATTTGCAATTCACATGAAACTTTTCTGCAGCAAAATTGTTTACAAATCTGCAACAAATGCTATTAACAAATCTTGACTTCACATCGGTTACACTGGATAATGAGGTTTATATTGTGCTCTATGGATGAAAAATAATCAAGGCTGTGGTCTTTTCTGCGGATTCTATTATCAACATTGCCGATCATATCAGTTGAGCAACTAGATTGATGAAGGCAATAGAAGCCACGAAAAGACCAACTCTTGATTGTCTTTCAAGCGCTCCCTGACTAGCCAAATGAAGGACGCTATTTAAATGCAAATTGTTGCTAGAAGATAGCTAATCAAATCCCAGTCAAAAACTTGAAACATGAAACATTTTATTATTTGTCTCACTTCTTCCACAAACCAATCTATTCTTGCCCAATTCACACACGGACTTCATTCACTCCACTACTTCTATCTCGGGCGGGGGGGAGGGATAGTGGAGGAGTTGAAAGATACTGATCTCTGCAGCAACCAAAAAAATCTTAACAGTCCCACATTTGCACTGTTCAAACCTGGCATCTTTTCCTCCAGACATTTATTCTCACATCCATCCCACCACCACAAAAACCACTGTGTCGTGGAGTAGAGTGCAATCCCATTATAGAGTGGGCTCTTGGATCAAACAAAAGAACACCTTAATATAACAGGTCCCACTTTCAGATGGTAACTGACTTCACTTTTGATCTGGTTTCCAGCATGGGAAGCTAGCTGGTCAACCACAACCACTCTTGTTTCAAGTACTAGAAACGCTTGCTGCAGCGATCACTGCAGAAGCGAGAAGTGTACTGCACTTCTAATAACTGCAGGTCCACAGGAGATCTCAGGTGTTTCAGGTGAACTCACTCTCCAGCAAGGCACTTAATAACAGGCTTGCCCTGTATATGTTCATCTCACTTTGCATGTATCCCTATATCTTCCAATATTGTAGTGTTTTATAATGTTTTCCATGTTATATAACTCAAGTGCTCACGAAATAGGAATCCAGTTGTGCTTAAAAAGGGAAATAAAAGTCTAGAATAGAAATTCAAAGACAGAAATGCTATGCTATGTAAAAGTCCTCTTACCATCCAGATTGGGGAAGTTTAAACGTTTTTTTTAAAAAAGCACTGTATGAGAGGTTTGGGGGCTGGTGCTATCTTAACAGCTGTTGACATCCGTTACAGGGAAAAAGTGGCAGAGGCTTCTGAGGCTGTGCTTCATAAACAGGTGACTAGGCTACTTTTAACTGTTAAGATGACTGCTCCTTTCCTCAACGCAATGCCTTTTAAAAACATTAGCAAGGCTTTTAGTTTTAAGTTGCACTCTTATGTGTGTCAGGCTGGCTCAGTGATTACACTCTCACCTCTGAGTCAAAAGGTTGTGGATTCAAGCCCCACATTGGGACTTGAGCTCACATCGTCTAAGGCTTAGACTAAAGTTGGCACTTCAATGTGCTGGGGAGGGTGTTGCATTGTTAGAGGTGCCGTCCTTCAGGTGAGATGGTAACTGAAGTCCCGCCTACCTGTTCAGGTGGACGTTAAAGATCCCATGGCACTATTCAAAAAGAGAAGGGAGTTTCTCCCAGTATCCTGGACAACAATCCCCCCCAAAAAATTTGGCCATTCACTCCATGGTTATTTGTGGGACATTGCTGTGCACAAATGCAAGCTGTATCACTGCCAAAGGTGGCAATATGATGAAGTTTCAACTATTTGAAATAGCATGACCTTTTCTTTAAAAATGTAAATGTAAATTACTGGTTCCCTCTGTAAGAAAAATTCTAAGTACTCTACATAAAATACAGTAACTGGTCAGCCAAGCCATGTTCAAATTAAAAATAAGTTTTTGCTCCCGGTGAAGTACACTCATGGCTCAACACACCTGTGCTGGAGAACTTGTAGTTATCTAGAAATACCCTTCCTGCTTCCTGAGTTATTTATACCATCCTTCAAACTGTTCAAAGTGAAACATTGTAACACAAAAGTATTTAACAGCAATGAATAGTCCTTATTTTGTTCAAATCCAAATGCATTCCAAAATCCACTGAAATTATTACTTATAAATTTAAGCATAAATGTATAATGAAATCATGGCTCAGCTTTAAACTCTAATAGAACAGAAATTTCTGCTACTTCATATAAAGCGCTACCCTAGCCCAAACTCTGTAGGTTCAACTGGATCCTGTATCACACTGATCTCCAACTGTAACTATTTCAGAACAGTTTATCGTTAGTGCATTCCAGCATATCTACACCCCACTACTGAACTATTACGGAAATACAGTTAACATTCAGTAATTCCCAATTTAAATTAAAATTGTATACTTTGAATATGGTGCATACAGTACATTGCTACAGTTTGTAAGCTTAGTATTATCTGTAATACAAACAGATTAGTGTTAATGTAATTTTACTAATCAGAAATTAAATTCAACAACCAAGATTTTTACACCCAGTGAACAACAAAGTGAATAATCATTTCTACTACTGACAGACGTTAAATATTGCATCACTTTTTAACTGCAAGTATCATAAGCTACTTTAAGGCCAATGTCATTAACCGGAATAAGCTTATCACCACCACACACACATTTGTATTTTCATTAATACTGATATAAAGGCAGCAGCTTGAATTTTTTTATAAGCTGCAGCTAAAAGATAGCAGACTCATGCTTACATCTCAAGAAAGAGGCAAAGAAACCACTCCTGAAAATGAAACAAACAGTAGAACCTTATTTATCTAAATTGTGTGTGTTAGCAATAATATAATAATAGCAATGTCAATATGTGAAAAATGAGCAATAATGAATACACTAAAAGCTACTAACAACCTTTCTGTAACATTGTGCTTGTATTGTTGGTTGAGGCCATACTTTATTTTTCTGCAAAGCTTTCTGGAGCTGTTTACAATGTTACAATAAGCTTAACACACAAATCCAATAAAATAAAATATAAAAACCTCTGTGCCCATTACACAATGGTTTATACAGGATAAATGCTAAAATCAGTTGTATTCTATTGCTCCTACGTTATGCTCTCTTAACCTTATAAAAACACCTCCACTAGTCTACATACTTGGGGAATCTGTGGATGTATTGTCTTAAAGCCGCTCACCAAATTGCCTCTGAAAGCAGCTTGACCTCATTTTGATGGAAGCATCATGAGGTGTTTTCAGAGAGGCTTCAGCATTTGCTGACTTCAAGGTACCTTGTGGCCAATATCTCAAAACTACTTCTAAAGTGCATTGCACCCAGTGATTTCTAAAACAACCCTCCTTCCAAAAAAAGTGATTGTTGACACTATTTCAACTTCCTTCAACAAACATGTATTCCTTTCAATTATGCACGTCGAGTGGTATCACACCATTGTATGTATATGCGTATTTATGTATGAAACCAGCAAACATAAATGGAACTGCAAGGCAAAATCATCCTAAATACCTATGAAAAGCGCCTGATTAAGAAACCAACCCATTATGATGCTGCTTCCACCATCAGACCCCAATTTAAACATTAGACCTATTAATGCACAGATAGCATTTAACAGCAAGATAACAAAAATATTAGATTTGAACGAAATATGTAGTATAGAGTTAAAATCACACTCAAATCTCGGATTAAGGTATTTAAGATTCATTCTAACATTCTGAATCCTTTATCTGGGTTATCTTCAAACTACTCTCTCACATCTGTACCATTTATAAATAATAATAATCCTTGCATTTGGTACAGCGCTTTTCATGTATTCTAGGCATCTCAAAGCGCTACACAGAATATACTGCAAAGTGAATTCATTGTATATATGTGGGCAAAACGCGGCAGCCAATGGCGCACAGCAGTGTCCCACAAACAGTTGTGGATTGAGTGACCAAATTATTTTTTTTTTATTTGAGCAATTATTATCCCCAGAAAAGCGATCCACCAATTGACTAACAACCAGGTTCCTACTTACTGCTAGGTAAACAGCGGCGTGTGGAGTAAGGAAACTTACCCAACATCTCGCTCTGCTGGGAATCGAACCCAGGTCTCTCGCTTGCGAGGCGAGTGCTCTAACCACTGAGCTGCAGGACTCAACAAATGTTGCTATATCTGGCGCTATTCAGTTAATTCTCCCTCCACCTCCCTATAACTAGGATTTTTAATAAATCTGTGATAAAATAATGATAAATAAAAATACAATAATACCATCACAGATTCTTTTTCTTAAGTATTTCTGTGAAAATACATCTTATCAAAAGAAAATCACACAAATGGAGAGACAGACCTCCAGTTCAAGGCTGCGGTCTTTGAAAATCTAAAACTGCAAACAGCACCCATTTCCTTAATCTCACCATTTCCTTATCCTTTCTTGTCCTCTCCCTAAAACCCCACCCCCCACCATTTCTTTACTGCTTTCAGAGAAGCATTTCAGCAAGAATTCTGGGATGCTATCCTGCGTAAACGGCGCTATATAAATGCAAGTTGTTGCTGTTCACTACCATTTTACTTATAGCTATTTGAATACAACATCTCCAAACCTCAGATAGCTTTTGAATGTTAAAGGGTGAGATTGCTGACAATCACATTACAAAATTGTCTGGTATAAATGCATTATGATACAACCTGATGATTATGTTGTGAATTTCTAAGATTATTATAATGTAAGCACCCCGAGACGCTATCTGCATAAAAGGCGCTATATAAATGCAAGACATTGTGGTTTGTTGTTGTAATATTTCAACAAATGTCGTCAAATAAAACTTCTGCAGAATGATTTGAAATACTTCCAATCAGAATTCTGCATTAATTTTTCATCTTGTATTAAACACTTTTCCTCCACTGCTCATTTCATTAGTTAGCAGATCTGATCTACCATAGCACAGTAGCCAACTAAAATAGCATTGTTTAAAAGTCACAACGGCAAACAAATTTTCAAAAAATACAACTCTGCACTCGCATTAATCAAGACAGCTGCAATTGCCCAACTTGGCAATGTTATTTTCAAATAAAAGGCACCTAACAAATGGTACATAGATAAATAAGGTTCGACAGTGAAGAATAGTTCCACACACACAGATTAAGTCGGTAGCAAAGGCTGAGCCATCTCACCATGGTGAATATGTAGGATAGACATCTGGCTTTTTGTCATCATAAGTACAAACACAATTAGAAATCCAACAACCAACACACTACCTAGGAGGATACCTAGCCATGCATATGAACCTCCAGTATTTATTTCAAAATGTGACACATTCTCCAAATCTGTTTTTTCAGTTTTACCCAGTTTTACAGCAGTTAACAGCTCTTGGACATTTTTAAACGAACCATTATTTGGCATTGGATCAAGTCCCAAAATATGGCAGATTAAAGGATATATGTCAACACTTCTTATGGCTTCCTTGGTGAAGTTCTTCTTGAAAGCAGGACCATGGGCTACAAATATTGGATGCATGCTCTGCAAGGTGTTATCATATCCATGGTTACCCACTAAGGAAAGAGAGAGAAGTTAAGCAGCAAAAAACAAAATACTACTTCATAGGAGAACTCAAAGCTAAAGTACATTTCAGAAATAGTTCTTACAAGATCTTTAAACATTGTAATGTATTATACTGTAAAAAGTCAGTGCAACTCCAAGAAGAAAATAGCAGCGATGGAAAGAGTACAGCGTAGGTTTACTAGGATAATACCAGAACTGTCATGCAATAAGGATAGATTGTATAGGTTAGTCCTTTTCTCGCTAGCGAAGAGCTGTACAAGAGGGGACTTAATCAAAGTGTTTAAAATTATGAAAGGGTTTGATAATTTTAGCATAAATAGGCTGTTCCCACTTGTTGGGAAGCCTGTAACCAAGGACCTAAAAGGCAATTTAGGAGCAACTACTTCACACAGAGGGTATTGAGATTGAGGAACTTGCAGCCTGAAGCAGTATATTCAAAACGATATGATAGTATAGGTGAATTTAAGAGGAAGCTAGACCTTCACATTCTACATGAGGGAGAGGGGAATAATAATCCTTGCATTTGATATAGCACTTAATCACATCATTGAGACGCCTCAAAGTGCTTCATAGGATATACTGTAAAGTGGATTGACTGCAATTTGTGGGCAAAATGCGACAGCCAGTTTGCGCACAGCAATGTCCCACAAAAGAAGAGTACAGAAGGGAGTAAGTGGTGGATACTCATTGGAGTATAAACACTGGTAGAGATTGGTTGAACTGAATGGACTGTTTCTGTGGTGCACATTCTTTGTAAATCTTTATAAAAGCTATTTAAAATTATGTGATACAAATCTGCAAAATAAATTTGTAATCAATGTCCAAACTAGATTTAAAAACAGTATGAAAATGTTATCCATTCATTTATTATCAAATTGGCCTCAAGCCAATTGTTTTCTGATGTCTACATTAACATTGCTAAACAAATAACAACTGTGACCATGAAAATTGTTGCAGAGAATGCTGCAAATAAAAATGTTAATTTTAATCTAGTTTCTAACAATGAAACGAAAGGAACAGATCGTGTCCAGGACTCCATGCACGCTGCTATGTCGCAATGTAAGTAATTGCTAACATCAGCAGAATAACTGTAGTTTAATGAGAATATCACTGAACATTCCAGAGAAGCATTTCTTCATGTGTCCTTTGCTGACAATTGATAAAAAACACTTGAGCGCAGTTCATAAAATATTCTTACAATGCCCTTAAGAATTAAGGTCTGGCTCAGATAGTAGTGCTCTCACCTCCAAGTTAGAAGGTTGTGGGTTTGAGTGCCTTGAGACAATATCCTTTGTGAAGGTGTCCATTCAGTTCAACCGATTTCTACACATTCTTAAGAACTCACAGTCTAGGATGACCCTCCAGTACAATGATGAGGGAGCATTGGATTGTTGGAGATACCATCCATCAGGTGGGATATTAAACCAAGTCAAGTGGACTTTAAAGATCTCATGGCACTATGCGAAAAGAGAAGGAGTTTCACCTGGTGTCTTGGCCAACAATCCCTCAGATAAAATTGACCATTCACTTCATGGCTGTTTATAAAACATTGCTGTGCATAAATTGGCTTCCGTATTCACCTACAAAACGCAGTCACTTTACAATAATTCCTGCGAAGTGCTTTGACAAGTCCTTCCGACAAACCCTTAAAAAGCGCTATATCAAAATCCAGATTATTATTATAAATAACAATCCTTGTATTCAATGCTGCACATATGTAAAAATATTGCAAAAGCTTTTTAAAGGGAATAGTAGAATAACACTGTAGCTGATTTTCAGACGGCAAGATTTTGCAAACTGCAAAAATGCAATCTCGGTTATTGTCACATCAGTAGGACACAACCTCTGACATTGCAGCTCTCGCTCAGGTCTGTAGCACAGTGACAGTCTGGACTATGAGCCAAAGTCCCAAAATGGGACTTTACTCAACAATCTTCTGACCTACATGTGTCAATATTACCAGTAAGATATTAAAAAAAACTTACATAAAAAAATTCCAGATGATATATTCTGGTCGATAGTCCAGCCTTCATCTGCCACTGCTATGATTGGCTGAATTCTGTTGTTATGTTTGTAGTGAAAGCGATCTGGAATTTCTTCTTTTTTGTAAACAGTCATATTCGGATGAGCATTTATTAAAGCATTGTATACATCATTGTATCGGTCTGCAATCAAACAAAATGGTGACCATAACAGCACTGAAAAAATACTTCCTTGCACACAATTAGTATGACACTTGCATATTTCAGTTCAAAACTAAATATTGTAACAAGAGAAAGCATTTTAAATAAAAAAACACTGAACAGAAATTGCTCCTACTAGGCTTTCCTATCCCTTTAATGCAACAAAAATATTTCAGGCTTCCATTTGGTAAAATACTACACTAAACATATCTTGACATGCCTTGTGGTTCCATCATAACAGTTTTAAATAGTTAAGCACCGCTAAATCACAATTTGTAGCATTACCTGGTTTGAACAAAGTTTAATTGTTTTCATCAAATCAAACTACCCTAAACAAAGCATTTGAGGCCTGAAATAATTTTGTTGAATTAAAAAACTACAGCCAGCTGCAGGAGAAAATGTCTAATTATATTCATAATAGAAATATAGTCACAATTATATTCATAATTGGAATCATGTTAAAAGAGTTTGATTTATAAAATTTTACCTCAAATTTCAAAGTAAACGGCTCATCTCATTGTTTATGGGATATTTCTGGCACAGATTAGCTGTAACATTTGCCTATATAAAACATTCGTTTCATTTTTAAATCAATTATATTTTGTAAAGTGCTTCAAGATAATTTGTTTTTAATGTGTAAAGTACTATATGAATGAAAGTTACTATTATGTAGTTTCACAGTTAGTGAAGATTCAAACATGTCATGTAAGAGAATACACAAGCCATCTTTCCAACAGCTGTAATATTAAATTTCTGAAGTATACATTGCTATACAGGACAGTTGAAAACCATATTCATTAAAGGATAAGCATAAGCAAATTTGAAATCCAGCTTTGAGTTGAAAACACATTTTACTGCATCACTTGGTCATTTTTTATATAAAGCTTGATACAGAGCTGACCCACTGGAAAGCATTAGTGAAAAGTAAAATCCTGGCAAGTAAATTCCCATACGTGGAGAAAACAATCATGATTCTATCCATTTTAAAAGAATCAAATGGTTCATATGTAATGGCCAGCATAATAGTACTTGATAGGTAAATCCACAAGCGGTTGGTGCAAGATTAAAAGTTATTTTCCCTTATTGGATTATAAATGTAGAAAACTCTACTTAAATGTATTAACATTATACATGTTCCTTAATATATGGCTTGTGATAAAGGCTACGCAGACCAGTGGGCTACAGGCTTGATCACCACAGTGACAATTTTAAAAATTTCATTCAAAAACTTAAGGAGGGAAGACAGCAGACTGTCATTACAAAGTTTTGTCTGGGATTTCAGATATTTCAATTAAGCAAAATGTATGTTATTTATGCTGTTTATTGTAAACAGACCATCTCCCCTAGAGGCTTCAAATCCTGGTCCCCCTTTTCGAAATGAATGGAAACTAGTTTCAGGTTATCACTTGATGTGTATAGTAGCCTGTGAAATCATCTGATACAGAGGCTTAATTGCTGGAGCAAACAAGAAGAAATAGAAAGAAAAGATGAATACCGAAGGAAGCAAATCTCTAGAGAGAAAGAGATTGTGACATTTTAAAACTACATGGAGTCCTGTAGCTCATTGGTTAGAGCACTCGCCTCGCAAGCGAGAGACCTGGTTTGATTCCCCGCAGAGCGGAACCTCGGGCAAGTTTCCTTACTCATACGCCTGATAATAATCTCTCAAGAAAAGAAACAACAATAATAAATTGGTCACTCCAACCCATGACTGTGGGACACAGTTGTGCGCAATTGGCTGCTGCGTTTCACCCAAAAATATACAGTCAATCACTTTACAGTATATTCTGTGAAGTGCTTTGAGACGTCTAAAAGACGTGAAAAGCACTACATCAAATGCAAGGATTATTATTAGTAGTAGTACATTCATAAAGTTGATTTTTTTGTGAATAATTACTATTATTCTTGTGTATTTCTTTTTGGTTTGGAGGGAATTTATTCTGTAGAATTAAAGAATTATAATGGAAATACAATATAGAATGAGAGATTATTAATATTTTCACTTCAAGGAAGAGACTGCTTAATGTATCCCAGTTTTCTATTGTCCAATCCGCAGTCTTTTTACATGGAGTTAGAAAAGGAAGTCCCATTAGAGGCAAACGGCTTCTGAGGGCAGTCTATAAATTGAAACTGGACAGTAAAAGAGAGACACCCACCAATCTAATTTAAATCCTCTCTCAACTATGTTGTTATAGAAGGGGCACCAAACAAAGCAGACACTTCCCATAGGAAGGAACAAAATAATTGGAAGAAAAGCCACCCCCAGAATGACCTTTGCAACAGTTCACTAATTGGAGAAGGCCTGGAGGTGACTTGACAGAAGATATTAAAAGAAAAAGAACATGAAGAGTATGGTAAAATATCAAGGATAATCTATTCAAAATCTGATGGGTCCAAATATTCCTATAATGCATCAATTATAATAGCAATTTATGTACACAATATGATATGCATATGCTTAGAATTGAACGTTGTCTAATTACCTTAATTCCTTCTTTGTTATTACAAAACACATGTACGTAAGGTATTAGTAGTATTGGCCAAATCACTTACATTCCATATTACATAATTTTTTAAACTACATTTTTCCTAGCACAATTTGTGCTTGACAAAAGCATACCATAGAAATTGCCTCCTTACCTGGTTTTGGTAAAATTGCAGAGACTGGTGAGAAGTCAATCCATGTATACAGCTCATTATTAACATAGCGGTCTAACTCGATGATCCTGTCTTTCGAACACTGTGCCATCCCATGGTCACTTGTAACTATTATGTTTAGTGTTTCCCACAGTCCTGCTTTCTGAAGTTGTGTTATAAGGTAACCAAGCTTCAGATCAATATCTGCAATGATGTCGTTCATCAGAACGCTATCAGGTCCTAAATTATGGCCTGAGATATCAGGCTCTTCCCAGTATAGGACGCCAAAATTAACTGGATCTTTTCCTGTGAACCAGTCAATCAATCGTGCCACTCGATCTTCAAAAGAAACTGAGATGTTATAGGGCATATAATGAGTTGGGAAGATGCCATGTATTTGGACATCTGTACCTGGCCACATTGCAGCTCCACTTTTATGACCTTGAATCTGGTTTGTTATCCAAAGTGGGTATGCTTCCTCCCACCACACAGGGTTTAATGCATTACTTTTATCCATGGAGAAGGATATATTTAAATCTGGATCATACATTTCATTAGATACAATACCATGGCTCTCCGCATACAAACCAGTCACAAGAGAATAGTGGTTGGGAAAGGTTTTTGTAATAAAAACATCAGTGACTCGTTTTACATGAATACCATTTTCCATAATATATTTAAAGTGTGGTGTTGGAACTCTATAGATGTAATCCCAGCGAAATCCATCAAAAGAGACTAGCAGGACCCTTGGTTGGTCTAATTGGATGGATACAACCTTGGTGAGAGTGAAACAGAGCAAAAACTGCCAAAGGCAAATCTGGTAGATGTGAGCCACCATGGCTGGCATTTGTTTTCTTTTCCGTCATGTATTAGAACACAAACATGTAAGGATCCACCACACCAGCTGCAACATAAGAAAATAATATTACATTTGACTAAGGGGGAAAAAAAAGCCAAATTTTGTAGGACAAAATTAAAAGATACCATATCCCAATAGAAGTTATGGTTAAAGAATTGGTTTTATATTGTTTATATTGTGCGTTTCACCCACAAAATATAGTCAATTCACTCTACAATATATTCTGTGAAGTGCTTTGAGATGTCTCAAAGTCGTGATAAGGCCCTATATCAAATGCATTGATTGATTGATTGATTGACTGTCTTGTCTCTCTGTCTGTCTTTCTATTTATGAACATTTAAGGAATACAAAAAATAATATTTCCAGCTATGTGCAGCGATACGTTATTTTGTATGTGCTGGATATGTGCATGCAATAATGTCCATCAAAGCAAGCAATAATAGCAACACAAAGCAAGTCCTCTCATGGTTAAGGTATGTAGTACACACACTGAAGATATGCGGGTATGGATAAAGAATGTTGAATTTACCAATAAAAACAAAAAAAACTTGCATTTATATAACTTATTTGATGCGGGGAAGCATCTTGGAGCACTTAACAATCACATAGTTTGATTCCGAGCTGGAGAGAAAAGGGAGATGAACATAGGAAGGGTGAAGAGAAAAGTCCTCAGGTCTGAACACGGCCAAAATCATATACATCTATATACATCTATGTATACACACACGCACACAGACTGATATACAATTAGCTGGATATATTTATAAATAGACAAAGACAGATTATATACTGTATAATAATAATAATAATCCTTGCATTTCACGTCTTCTAGACATCTCAAAGCGCTTCACAGAATATGCTGTAAAGTGAATTGACCGTATATTTGTGGGCGAAAGGCGGCAGCCAATTGCGCACAGCAGTGTCCCACAAACAGTCGTGGATTGAAGTGACAAATTTTTTTTTGAGGGATTATTATAACGCGTGTTGAGTAAGGAAACTTGCCCAAGGTTTCTCCCTGCCTGGAATTGAACCCAGGTGTCTCGCTTGCAAGGCGAGTGCTCTAACCACTGAGCTACAGACTCCATAATATAGCTTTTTTGATGCACAGACACATATACAGATACATATATTTAGACATAGACTATATTATATATAATATACACACATTATATGTAAAGTCCTGTAGCTCAGTGGTTAGAGCACTCGCTTTGCAAGCGAGAGACCTGAGTTCAATTCCAGGCAGAGGGCGAAACCTTGGGCAAGTTTCCTTACTCCACACGCCTAATAATAATCCCTCCAAAACCAAAAACAATAATAAATTGGTCATTTTCAATCTACGACTGTTTGTGGGACATTGCTGTGCGCAATTGGCTGCCGCGTTCGCCCACAAATATACAGTCAATTCACCTTACAGTATATTCTGTGAAGCGCTTTGAGACGTCAAGAAGACGTGAAAAGCGCTATATCAAATGCAAGGATTATTATTATTATTATTTAAGAAGTCTATGCATATACCTCCTTATCAAGTTGAGGAACTAATTGCTCTCACAGTTTATATGAATATATATAACTTCACAGAAATTATTATTATAGTGTAATGACTATATTTTCTAGTCAAATACGGTAGCCTCTCTCCCAAACTTACTGAACTTGGGTGCAACCTTGCCATCTAGTTCAACCTTACAGAAAGGAAGATTGCTTTGCTTAACCTTCATCACATTGCCCTCATATACCCCATTCTCACATCAAATGCTGCTGGGCTTTGCTACCTCCTACAAAGACGTTTCAAACTCACTCCTCTCCTGTCTTTCTTGTTCCACAATCCACAAACTCCAGCAAATCGAACACTCTGCTACCCACATCCTCACCTGCACCAATCCCGTGCCTCAGCCTTCAGCTACTATGAACCTGACTTTGGACCTCCTTTGCTCCCTCTATCTTCCTTAAATCTTTGACCATGCCTATGGTTTCTGCCCCCTTGCTTGGCATTCAACCTCGACTTTGTTAAGCACTGTCAGATGCAATGGATTGAAAGATGGCCCCTGGTTTTGGTCTCCCCCACAAGTGGAAACATCTTCCCTATGTCCACCCTATCAAAACCTTTCATCATTTTAAAGACCTCTATCAGGTCACCCCTTACCCTCCTATTTTCAAGAGAAAAGAGTCCAAGTATGTTCAGCCTTTCCTGATAGGTATAACCTCTCAGTTCTGGGATCATCCTTGTGAATCTCCTTTGCACTCTCTCCAGTGCCTCTACATCCCTTCTATAATGTGGGCACCAGAACTGCACACAGTACTAAGTGTGGTCCAACCAAGGGTCTATAGCAGTTTATCATAACTTCCCTGCTTTTCATTTCTATCCCTCTAGAAATGAATCCCAGTGCCTGGTTTGCCTTTTTTTTATGGCCTTATTAACTTGCGTTGCCACTTTTAGTCAATTGTGTGTGTGTACCCCTAGATCCCTTTGCTCCTCTACCCCATTTAGGTTTTTATTTTCCAGGATGTATGTGACAAAGTATATATCTATTATATATAGTAGTATATCTATTTTAAATAGTACATATTTTCAACAATATGTTATAGATAATAGATATAAATATGTCTTAGGTTCTTATATTGTTTATAACATAAATACTATTATTTAATATTTATATAAATATAATAATAATAATTTGCTTACTCAATCCACGCTGTTTGTGGGACGCTGGTGTGCGCTATTGACTGCCACGTTTCGCCCACAAAATGTACAGTCAATTCACTTTCAACTATATTTTGTGAAGCGCTTAATATATAGATACTGGCTATAATAATGTAGATGTTGTTTACATTATATACTATTTGTAATGTATATATATACATACATAAGTCAGTAACTAGGTGTTAGAGCCAATATGCATCAGTCAGTATACATCTATATCATCAACAGTATATGTCCATATCATAGACAGTAGACAGTATATGTTAGACAATATGTATTATAGACAGTATCTCAGGGTTAAAGAGTTGTATATAATATACATCTACATTATAATAATAATAATAATAATCCTTGCATTTGATACAGCGCTTTTCACGTCGGGAGGACGTCCCAAAGCACTCCACAGAACACACTGTAAAGTGAATTGACTGTATATTTGTGGGCGAACGCGGCAGCCAATTGCGCACAGCAATGTCCCACAAACAGTCGTAGATTGAAAATGACCAATTTATTATTGTTTTTGGTTTTGGAGGGATTATTATTAGGCTCTGTGTGGAGTAAGGAAACTTGCCCAAGGTTTCGCCCTCTGCCTGGAATTGAACACAGGTCTCTCGCTTGCCTGGGTTCAATTCCCCAGCAGGGCGAAACATTGGACAAGTTTCCTTACTCCACATGCCTCTGTTTACATAGCAGTAAGTAGAAACCTGGGTGTTAGTCGATCGCAGATCACTTTTCCGAGGGTAATAATCCTTTCACAAAAAATCTAAATAAAAAATATTAATTTGCTCACTCAATCCACGACGGTTTGTGGGAGACTGGTGTGCGCAATTTGCTCTCGTGTTTCGCCCACAAAACATACAGTTAATTCACTTTACAGTATTTTCTGTGAAGCACTTTGAGACATCTAAAAGATGTGATAAGGCGCTATATCAAATGCAAGGATTATTATTATTGTTGTTGTTCGACCCTCAATTGTCCTTTAAATCCCACATTCGTGCCATTACCCATTCTGTCTTACCAACATTGCCCGTTCTCTGCCACTATCTCTACCATCTGGCGGCTAAAACCTTCATCCATGCTTTCATTACATCCAGGCTTGAGTACGCTAACTCCCAGCTCGCCGGGCTTCCCAAATCTTCCCTCCACAAGATGCAGTTATTCTAAACTCTGCAGCTCGTGTCCTGTCCCGCACTGAACCATGAGCTGATTACCCCCATCAATGCCCGGCTTCACTGAATCCCCATCCTTCAGAGGCTCGAGTTCAAGATCCTTGTCATCGCCTTTAAAACCCTCCACAGTCTTTTTCCACCACACCTCTGCGACCTATTAAAACCCCAACCTGTCTACTCCTTCCATTCTGCAGACATTGGCTTGCTCCGCGTTTCTTGCCCTACTCCACGTCCCTGCACTGTCTGATCCACTATCAGCAGTCGGGCTTTCTGCCCCTACCTTCTCGAACTGCATCCCAGAGCCCCTCTGCCTCACGCCCTCCCTTGCTTCCTTACAACGCCTGTCATTTGTAATCTTTCCAACCCGCAGCTCGGGTGAAAAACCCTCATTGACCAGGACCTTTGGACATCCTCGCAACATGAAAGGCGCTATATAAATGTAATTTGTTGTTATTATAGACAGTACACATTATAATAAATAAATCCTTGCATTTTGATATAGTATTTTTCACGTCTTTTTGACAACAACAACAAGATTCCATTTATAGAGCGCCTTTCACGTCGGGAGGACGTCCCAAGGCGCTGTACAGTTGGTTCAGGACCCGAGCATTGGGGGGAAATGGTGAGGGGAGGGAAGGGAGGGAGCGAGGAGGGGGTAGAGAGTCGAGAGGGGAGCTGAAGGCTCGGTCAAAGAGAAAGGTCTTGAGACCGGCCTTGAAGGAGGAAAGGGAGGAGGCGGCGAAGGCACTGGGGTATGGAGTTCCAGAGCCTCGGGGCTGAGAGGCTGAAGGCCCGACCACCAATGGTAGGGCGGTTGGGGCGGGGGATGTGGAGCAGACCGGAGCCAGAGGAACGGAGGGTACGGGCAGGTAGGTAGGAGGATAGTAGGTCGGAGAGGTAGGAGGGAGCAAGGCCGTGAATGGCCTTGTAGGTAAGGATGAGGATCTTGAATTCGATCCTCTGGGGGATGGGGAGCCAGTGGAGGCGAGCGAGGGTGGGAGTGATGTGGTCGCGAAGCCTGGTGCGGGACAGGACACGAGCTGCAGAGTTCTGAATGACCTGCAGCTTGTGGAGAGAGGTGGCGGGAAGGCCGACGAGGAGAGAGTTCCCATAGTCCAGCCTTGAGGTGATAAAGGCGTGGACCAGAGTTTCAGCAGCGTGAGGGGTGAGGTAGTGCCGTAGTCTGGCGATATTCCGGAGGTGATGGAAGGCGGTGCCAGTTGTGGCGCGGATGTGAGGGAGAAAGGACAGCTCAGGGTCGAACAGAACGCCGAGGTTCCTGATGGCTTTGAGAGGTGGAGAGTGCAGCCTTGGATGCTGATGGTGTCGGCGCCTGAGGTGCGGAGGCGCTGACGTGAGCCAATCAGGAGGGCCTCGGTTTTTCGCACGTTGAGCTGAAGAAAGTTATCTCTCGTCCAGGACTCGATGTCGGACAGGCGGCTGTCAGGACATCGGTGGTCGTGGAGTTGAGGGTAGAGGAGGAAAGGTAGAGTTGGGTGTCATCCGCATACATGTGGAAGTTAACTCATCCTCACCTACAAGGCCATTCACGGCCTTGCTCCCTCCTACCTCTCCAACCTACTATCCCCCTACCTACCTGCCCGTACCCTCCGTTCCTCCGGCTCCGGTCTGCTCCACGTCCCCCGCCCCAATCGCCCTACCATCGGTGGTCGGGCCTTCAGCCTCTCAGCCCCTAGGCTCTGGAACTCCATCCCCCAGTGCCTTCGCCTTGCTTCCTCCCTTTCCTCCTTCAAGGCCGGTCTCAAAACCTTTCTCTTTGACCGAGCCATCAGCTCCCCTCTCGACTCTCTTCCCCCTCCTCGCTCCCTCCCTTCCCTCCCCTCACCCTGACCATTTCCCCCTGCTCGGGTCACGACCCAACTGTGCAGCGCCTTGGGACGTCCTCCTGACGTGAAAGGCGCTTTATAAATGGAATCTTGTTGTTGTTGTTGTTGTTGTTAACTCCATGTCTGCAGATGATGTCACCAAGGGGGAGCATATAGAGGGTGAAGAGGAGGGGACCGAGGACAGAGCCCTGAGGGACACCGCACGAGACAGTGTGGGGGGTGGAGGAAAAACCATTCGTGGAAACAAAGTGAAGACGGTGGGAGAGGTACGAACTCAACCACTCAAGGACAGGGCCTTGAAGGTTGAGGTGGGAGGACAAGCGGTGGAGGAGGATAGTGTGGTCGACCGTATCGAATGCTGCCGATAGGTCGAGGAGGACGAGGAGACAGAGGGAGCCCTGGTCACAGATGGTCAGGATGTCATTGGTGACCTTGACCAGGGCAGTTTCTGTGCTATGGGCAGCACGGAAACCCGACTGAAGGGGGTTCGAATAAGGAATGGGTGGAGAGGAAAGAGCGCAGCTGGGAGGCGACAACTCGTTCCAGAACCTTGGACAGGAAGGGGAGGTTGGAGATGGGCCGGTAGCTTGATAGCTGCGACGCATCAAGGGAGGGTTTTTTCAAGGTGGGCGTGATGGTGGCAGTTTTTAATGGAATGGGGACAGAGCCAGAGGAGAGGGACAGGTTGATGATATCTGTGATATGTGGGGCAAGGAGGTGGAGCTGGGAGATAAGGAGTGGAGTGGGGATGGGGTCAAGGGAGCAGGTGGTGGGTTTCAGGGATAGGATGAGTTTGGTGACAGAGGGTGGGGAAACGGGTACGAAAGTGTGTAGGGGAGGATGGGTAGGAGTCGGAGTGTGGGAGGGAAGGGGTGGGTGGTGGGTGGATGTTGGAGGGGAAGTGACCGCGGAGCGAATTCCCTTGATTTTGGATTCAAGGAAATCCAGCATCTCCTCGCAGTGAAGGTTGGAGGAGATGACCTGCGCGGGGTGGCGGGGGGGACGGAGGAGTCGGGATGTGGTGGAAAACAGTAGCCTGGGGTTGTTCTTCGCCTCCAGGATTATCCTGGAGTAGAAGGACGACTTGGCCGAGGCTAGAGTGGAGCGGTAAATTTTGAGGAGGTCCAGCCAGATTTGTCGGTGGACCGTTAGGCCAGATTTGACAGGTGCGTTCAGCGGCCCGCACCTGGCTCTTCAGTGAGCGGAGGTGGGTGGTGAACCAGGGGGAGGAGCGGGAGTAGGAGACAGTACGGGAGGTGATGGGGGCAAGAGTATCGAGTGTGGAGGAGAGGGTGTTGTGGAGGAGGGTGAGAGGAGAAGAGGGGTCAGTGAGGGTTGAAGGCCAGAGGGAGAGGAGTTCAGAGGACTCCAAGGCATCGGTTAGGGATTGTGGGGGTAACTTCTTCCAAGGGCGGTAGAAGATGGTGGTGGGTCTGGTGGAGGTGGGGAGGGGGGTGGAGGTGGTGAAGGAGATGAAGTGGTGGTCGGAGATGGCCTTGTCGGTAATAGTGACATCCGAGACACTGAGGCCCCGGGTGATCACCAAATCGAGTGGGTGGCCGTGACTGTGAGTGGGGGAGTTGATGTGGAGGGAGAGGTTGAGTGAGGAGAGCAGGGAAGAGAAATCTGAGGAGATGGAGCAGGAGGGGGTGAAGTGCAGGTTAAAGTCGCCCAGGATGATGAGGCGATCAGAGCAGAGGCAGAGAGATGTGAGGAGTGTTGAAATATCAGAGATGAAGGTGGGAGAGGTTTTAGGGGGCCGGTAGAGGAGGAGGATTTTAAGGGAGAGGAAGGAGGGGTGGGAGAGGGTGAGGTGCTCAAAAGAGGGGAAAGAGCCAGAGGAGTAGGGGGATAGGGCAAGTGGTGTCCTTGAGATAAGGGCAACACCACCGCCACGGCGGTTGGGGCGGGGGATGTGGTGGGAGGTGTAGCCGGGTGGTGTGGCCTCCGTGAGGGGGAAGGTGTCGCCTGGGGTGAGCCAGGTTTCTGTTAAGGCCATGATATCAACGTTCTCATCAAGGATGAGATCGTTGATGACCAGGGCCTTGTTACAGAGGGAGCGGACATTTTGCAGTCCGATGTGGAGGGAGCGGTTGACAGAAGGGTGTGTGGGAGGGGAGGGGGGTCCAGGTTGTGAGGCAGGGGTGGGGGGAATGGGGATAAGGGAGGAGAGGTTGGCTCCCCGGGTCTGTGTCCGGGGTGGCTGGCGAGTGTGGTGGGGAATGGGGCAGTCGGTGTGGCTGCTGCTGGACAGCCAACGCCGAGTGCCACGGTGAGCCCGGCGGAGGATTCCCAGGCTGGAGCAGAGGGAGGTTGTGGGAGGGTCAAGTGGGGATAGAAGACGAGAGGGACGGAGAGAGAGGAGGACAGAGCGGGAGAGATGCAGAGGGGGGAGGGTTTGGGTGTTGAGCCAAACCATATATTATTAACAGTATATTAGACAGTATCTAGGTGTTAAAGACAGTGTATATACAGTATATATTATAAACAGCATATATAAACAGTATATATAAACAGTACATATAAAAAGTATATATTATAAATAGTATATACAAACAATGTATTATAAACAGTGTGTATATAAACAATATATATTATAAACAGTACATATCATAAACAGTATATATTAAAAACGGTATATATTATAAACAGTATATATTGTAAACAATATATATAAACAGTATACACACCGTATATTATAAACAATATATTGTAGACAGTATATATTATAAACAGTGTATATAAACAGTATATGTTATAAACAGTGTAGTATAAACAGTGTATATTATAAAGTGTATATTATAAACAGTGTATATAAACAGTATATATTATAAACAATATATAAACAATATATAAACCATATATTATAAACAGTGTATATAAACAGTATATATTATAAACGATATATATTATGAACAGTATATGCACAGTGTATATATAAACAGTATATATTATACAGTGTACATACAGTGTATATATAAACAGTATATTATACGGTGTATATACAGTGTATATATAAACAGTATATATTATACAGTGTATATGCACAGTGTATATATATATATATATATAAACAGTATGTATCAGACAGTCGGGAGGTGCTGGAGACAGTGTATATAATGAGCAGTGCGGTGTGTGGAGTTGGAGACACTCACCACCTGTCTGTCGCTATCGCTGTGTCACGGACACTGTCTCCGGCCTCCTCTCCCCCTCCCTGACCCGCTCGCTCATTGGTTGGCTGACGGCCGCACGCTCTGTGACCGCCGGCTCCACTGTTGCTAGGCAGCGGCGCTGCGCGCGCACTTAATGCCAACGGCGGGTGAATAAAAGGGACGGAGTTCAGCGCGTGCGCAAACACGGCTGACCGACTCGCGCACTTCCGGCGCGCATGCGTGTGACTCTCCAAGCAGTGCAGTGACGGATTGGGCGGGTTTGGTTCCCTGAGCCCTGGGCCCCTCTGCTGCCCGGAGGAGGCGACGCGTAAGATTGGGCTACTTTTGGGCTCGTGTCTGGTGGACTTTGGGCTACAAACTCTATTTCTGCCAACTCCCGACAGTGAGAGCAGCCCCACCAGGGTTCAGTGGGTAACCAGTGAGCGTCTCTCTCTGTGGCTTCCCCCCTCCGCGGGTATTTCTTCCTCGTCAATACAATACAATATTATATTTGTATGGCGCCTTTCGCGTCGGGAGGACATTCCCACGGTCAGGGATTTGGACCCGAGGCTGGGAGGTCGGGATCGGGGAGGGCAGGAGGGAGGGAGGGAGGGCGGGAGGGCAGGAGGGAGGGAGGGAGGGCGGCCGAAGAGGAGGGTTTTGAGACGTGCCGACAAGGAGGCGAGGGAGGGAGCGAGGTGAAGGGAATGTGGGATGGAGTTCCACAGGGTGGGGGCAGAGAAGCTGAAGGTCCGACTGCCGATGGTGGAGCGGGCAGGGCAAGGCAGGGCAGGGCAAGGCAGGGCAGGGGACACAGCGCAGGCCAGTGCCCGCTGAGCGGAGGGAGCGGTCAGGTTGGTAAAGTTTCAGTAGGTCACAGAGGTAGGCAGGAGCGAGACCCTGCCGAGGGCTTTAAAAGTGAGGTTGAGGATCTGGAACGCGATCCGCTGAGGGATGGAAAGCCAGTCAAGCTGAGCGAGGGTGGGGGTGATCGGCTCATGGAGCGTAGTATGGGAGAAGACATGAGCTGCAAAAATCTGAATAATCTCCATTTTACAGAGAGAAGAGTCGGAAGTCCGCCGAGCAGGGAGTTGGCTTAGTCAAGCCTGTTTGTAATGAAAGCGTGGATGAGGATGTCGGCAGCCTGAGAGAGGTGGTGGTGGAGGCGGGCAATGTTGAAGAGGTGGGGGAAGGCAGAACGGGTCTTGGCACGGATCTAGGGTTCATAGGACAGTTGAGGGTCTAATAAGATACTAAGGTTCCTACTGGCTCGGGGAGGTGTAGAGTGTATCCATGAATAGTGATGCTGTCAGCTCCTAAGCTAAGGAGGCACCGATGGGAGTCAAGTAGGAGGGCATTGATCTTGTTGATATTTAATTGGAGTGTCATCAGGCATATCTCTTGTGCACAGCTTATATGTGAGGCACGTATGAAATTACATCAGCAACAACCTCATGAATTGCATTGCTGCCATTTTTCATGCTTCATTTCAATGGAGGGGTCTGATCTTATTGACCCAGATTACCACATTATATTAGGGTTGCCCTGTATTTATGGTATCCATTGGTCTGGTATGGAGCATATACTCTTTCTCTGAAGGGACATTCCTTGCTTGCCTATTGCTGTAGAATTTAAGCAAAGGTTGGCAAGATCCAAGGCTTTCTACACCTTTATTGCAGAGCACTGGTAAGCTTCTCACAGCTTATCTAGTTTGGATCATCCTTTGGCTTGCATGGTTAGACCGGGAAGAATCCCAGGACCCCAATGACTGATTTGCTCCTCACAAGTCTTGTCAACAAGTCAGGCTAGCTGTCCATCCTCAACAGAGTTCTGGAGTACGGCAGACCTGCCTGGATTCAGTTTGTGCCACCAACAATTCTGATATTCCATTGTCAGGCACAGGGGTCAATTCAACCACAAACAAATCCCCACCTCCCCAGAGGATAGTCACTAGTTAGTCACTAGTTCAAATTAGCTCTCACTTTGAATGCGTCTACTCCACGTTGATGTGTGGTGTTCATTTCAGAGAAATTCTGTGGGCAGTAAAAATCGTGTTTTTTTTTGTCTTTTGTCACACCACAATAATAGTGAGAGCCAAGCGAAGAAATTGTAATCAAAGCTCAAAAGAAAGAATTGCAGGATGTTTACACTTCAAAACTGGAATGGGACTATTGTTAACTTATTTTACTGACCACACAGTAGCGCACAGACAGCTAACCTCACTTCCAGCATATTGTGTTATAGAAGTGCATTTATTTTTAGAAAGGTCAGGATATAGATTTTGGCACAATGTGATTAGGTTAATATCCATGTCACATAAGATTGCTGGCATTTTTATACTTCACATTGAAATTTCAATTAAATATCCAAGACCTATTTAAAACTATTATTTTTTTAACCACTATCGTACAAACTGACTAAAAAACACATTTAATGTTATTACTTGAAGGAGTTACACTGTATCAGTTAGTGATGTTGCATGGCTCATATCCACAAGGGGTCACCATCTCTGCAACAGTGCTCTGTTACCCCAAAGCCCAATGAGAAATCTTTAAAAATAGTCTTGAGGGAGGCTCACAATAATTGCCATCAAGTCTTTGCCATTAGATAAACATTTAAGTTTGCTCGTGATTGAGAAACATTTCATCTGCAGATTGAGATAACTGAAATAAAATGATCTATTTCTAAGTTGATTATCACTCCAGCATGATGTGAGATTCCCAGTAAATTCAGTAGTTTTAATATTGAAGATTACAAGTGGAATGGGACTAGAGCATGAGTTTTGAATTAGATGGACTGGGGCAAAGGTACTATTATTTCATGTGCCCCTTGACCTGCTGACATGGCATATCTTAAATATTGTTCTGAGTTTAGTTTCTCTTCCATTTAGCATCTTATACACATCGATAAAGTCCTTGCTGAAATGCCTTTTACACCTGTTATTGTTGATTAATGAATAAAGGCTTGTGATGTAGCGAAGAGCACGATTATACCTTCCAAAATGCATTTATAGTTATTGTGGATGTGACTGTTTTGAAGTGCTTATTTTAAATATGAGCACAAAAAGGCTTTTATAATACAGAATAAAAATTCCCTATATTGCCATGGAAATCTTAATCATGAAGCTGATCCCTGACTGTTCAACTGCCTTGGAACGTCCCACCGACATGAAAGGCCCTTTACAAATGTAATATTGTATTGTATTGTGAAAAGAATCCTTGTATCTGATATAATGTTTTATAATGTCAAAACGTCTCAGAGCAATTCAGTTTTTTTTTGTAAAGTGTAGTAACTAGGTATTTGTAGTGTTAATGTGACATACAATTTACACCCAGCAAAGCTCCACAAACAGCCATGAAATTAATTTTTGGCCCGACACCAAGTGAAACTCTTCTCTTTTTGAGTAATGCTTGGGATCTTTGAAGTCCACATGAAAAGACAGACCGGACTTTGAGTTAAAACCTCATCTAAAGATCCCAAGCATTACTTAAAAAGGGGAGTTTCTCCCTGGCCAACAATTCCAAAAAATAATCATTCATTTCATGGCCATTTCTGGGGCTTTGCTGGATATAAATTGTGGACCACTCGAACCCTACAAATACCTAGTTACTACACTTTACAAAAAAAAATGGGAATTGCTTTGGATGAGGTTCTAACCCGAGGTCTGGTCGACAACGCAGTGCTCACCGAGCACTGCATTGAAGTGTTACTCTTACTATGAGCTGAAAATCGTGATGTGGAGCTGCAACCCACAATCCTCTGGCACAGGTGTGAGTACTACAAACTGACACATGGTCGAGTTATTGTCAGGTGCTGTAGTCTACAGGAGTTTGAACTAACTTCCTATACTCCTGAAGGGTAGGGGGTTATAGAGGGTCACGTATATGGCAACAGAATATCAGGTCACAGAATATCAGGTCTGATTATCGTGCCACGTGGGTCATATTACTCCAAGGTACTGCTGATGACAGATCAAACAGCCTGGCTCTTTGGCAGGACTTGGAAGGGCAGATTGGGGGCAGGGATTCTTTCCATCTGCTTCCCGTTGTCTCTGCAACCCAAAGCCCAAATGGGTAGGGTGTTGCTAGGAAGCTTGCCGGACAGTTCTTTCAATTGCAAGCTACGTGGTTTTGCCTGGTTCAACTCCAGCAATACTCAGTGCATACTCAGGTCCCCAAGCCTTGACTCACCAATCTATGGCAAATACTTTCTGGAATTACTTAAGCAGAGTGAATTCCTCTAGGAGAGTATGCATTCCAGACAAGCAAATTTCCATAAGTTGACGTGCATATGTGGAACTGGCAGTGTGGTTTGGATACTCTTAACCACGTTGATGTGTTTCAACTAAGATACCAGGTTGACCAAAAAAATGCAAATCTATTATTGGGAACCCAAAAATATTTACAATATGGATATGCCACCAGGCAGCAAGGCCTCAGTTTAACATTTCACCTGAAGAACGGCACCTCCAACAATGCAGTGCTCCCCTCAGCAATACTCTGTAGTGTCAGCTTTAAACTGTTTTATTTAGAGACAATTACATGATAAATTAATAATTGTTCTGTTCATTTTTATTTCAGATTTCCAGCAGTCACATCTTTTCAATTTGATTTCTCTGATCTAAAGTAGCTTGGCAACAATACTGATATTGCAGTTTTTGAAATGTTCTTTTTATATTATACAATCACAATTTTTATTTTACTAAAGCATCAATCTAATTTATATTAATGTGAGTTTTATGTGATAATTTTATCAGATTGCAAAAAGATAGCAATGGGATTTAATAATAATCCTTATGTTTCATACTGGGCTTTATTAAGTCTTTTAATCTCTCAAAGTACCTTCACATGATATTAAAGTGTAGTGACTATGTATTTTAGGTGAATGCAGCAGTCAGTTTGTGCACAGCAATGTCCTGCAAACAACCATGAAGTAAATAACCAATTTTAGCTGGAGGATAATGGACCAGAACCCTGGGATTATCTCCCCTTTCTTTTTGCCAAGGGATCTTCAGCATCACCTGAACAAGCAATCGGGACCTTAGTTTAACGTTTCATTTGAAGGACAGCACCACCGACATGCAGCTCAGAATTTAGCACCATTTCGTAACAAAATTATAAATGTTCTAACAATAATGAGCACTTTAATTGTGTAAATATATCTTATACTGTTATGTCGTCAGATAAATTATGTTTTAAAAGTACAAAAAGGTATTTGGATAAAGATCCTCTAACTAGGATGTGACTTTCATTGAAAATCAAACTTATGGACAAAAGAAATTACATAGAACGCTACAGCATGGAATCAGGCCACTTGGCCCAACTTGTTTACCCTGATTTTTATTCTCTACATGAGTCTCCACACCTACTAATCCCCTCTCCCTACCCCTCTATTCCCTTCTCTCTCATGGATTCATCAAGTTGTTTTTTTAAATCAGTTTTCATTCTTCCATAAATTTGCTTTTTGTGTAAACAGTTTTGTTCAAGGATGTTGCAATTTCTGCCTTGTTTAAACTTGTCACCTGGTTAGGGTTTAGATAATTGAGAACAACCAACAATCAAATCATATTTTTGAAGCATAATGCTGAAAGGAATAACTTATTTTCAAAACAAATATAAATTGTGTTTTATTATTGGACTATGGCATGTTTTCAGTTAGTAAAAAGTTGGGTTAGTAACATTCCAAGCAAAGCACTATTAGCCTTTGCAGAAATTATTTTCATCTCATTTACTGAAATGCAAGGTAGCTGAAAGTCTCAAAATCTGTTGCCAGAAACAATTGTGTGTTTATAATAATAATTCTTGCATTTGATACAGTGCGTTATCACGTTACAGGATAACATTGATGTAAATTTGTGCATATAAAAGTTTCTACTAATTGCTGTGAAAATGACCTTGCCGTGTAAACAGTGAATTTCATAGAAACAGCAACCTTGGGCACTGCAAAGTTCTTCCGGTTCAAGTGGCTCTGGAGTATCAAGGCAATACCAGCAATTCGGAAGAATTCCAGTTCACATCCTCTCTGTCTTGAATTTTTAGTAAGGTTATTTATATGAAGGTGCTAGCAAATAAGCTAGCAAAACAGAGGATAAGCATTCCTGGCTGTACAATGCACTTACATTGGGAACTGACTGATGATGGGAGATTGCAGTTGACAATTCCTACTCCATTCTGCCGCTCATCACTTGAGCAATCGTGTTTTTCTGAGCATGTGTTTACAAAGAACATAGTTAATCAGTTGGATGTAAATACTGTAAGTCATTTGGGGGCTCACAGTTTAAAAGAAATGGATTCTGAAACTTGTGCCAAATAAATTTTGTTGCCCTAAAATTACTAAAGTATAAATGCTCTTATTTTTCATTCATATTTAGTAGTAAATTTAAACATAAAGAACCACAAAGCACTGTTTATTTGTTATGAGTCTTTAAAGCAAAACCGTTTTGATATCTTGTATGTTTTATATAGAAACTTTACATCTAAAACTGACTCAAACAGCTGGTTCTTGACAGCTGAGGTAGGAAAATGGGAAGCTGTTACAAATTTAGCTTTCAAAATACAAACCTTTCAGTACAGAATGAATTAAATGAATTGTTATTGGCCTAGATGTCTTTTATGTATCCAAGATTATTTTTGCACAATTGCAACACACAATGTAAAGTAGACCTAGATAGAGCAAGGTAAAGAACCACAAAACATTTTTTTATTTTGTATGATTCTTGAAAAAGCAAAACAATTTTTGGTACTATTTGGTGCAGAAATGCAACTGTAATCTTTACAGTCCTAAAAAAAAACTTGGAAAAGAGATATAATTGATCATGATAAAGTAAGTAAATAAATATTCAACACAATTAAAATATCTATAGTAGGTTTACATTTTAGGTGCAAGTTCAAGAACCCACAAGCAAGTACCTCTGTGACAATGTGAAGAAACGTTTTATTTACATATTGCGTCTTGAAACCTTAATTTGTTTTTTCCTCTTGTGGTTATTAATAGGTTACTGTTTACACTTTTGTAAGGTTAGTTATCTTGTTCTGTATCACTGGGGTGTTCATTAAGTCTGTCCTGACTTTCACACCTTCATAGGACATCTATATAAAAACCCAATACGCAGCAGTTACCTAATAAGGTGCAGTGTGATCAGTGGCAAAGCATAGGCTCATCTGGTATTAAAACTAACGCCCAATGGGGCTTTTGAAAAGAGCAAAATCATGTTACAGAAATAGTAATAATAATTTCTTCAAAAGGATTTAAATGAAACATTGGTTTATATGACCAATAATCATGATTGTTTAATCACAAAAACTTCCAACTAAAATGTAAATGTCTAAAATATAGATTATAAGTCGAGCATTTTTTTCTAAAGTTAACTTGTGTTTATGGGAGTGCGCCTCTTGTAAAATCTTAGAGAAGGCACAGATACAATTCGTCATGAGGACCACAGCATCACAATTTTGAACAGCAAGACACAGTTTCGTGCACAAACTAAATAACAATAGACATACTAGACACACATATATAAGGCAATTAATTTAAAAAGTATTACTAGCACCCATTCAGTGGCAAAGACGCAGAATAACACAGACAACGCCAAATACTAGCCTTTACTAATAAACATATATTCTAATTATACACTGAAGCACTAGAGAATGCAGTCAAATCTCATTATTAGTAACACAGTGACCCCCCCGCCACCCGCCCGTTGCTTTGTGTGGACGCAAAAGGTCGGCAATGCATTGAGACCTCGAGTTCAACATGGTCAACACTGAGGATGACTACATTGAACCCCTTTTGTTAGAGGAATGACCGTTTAGGTCTCAAACTGTTGGGTAATGATCATGTGGACAGCCAAACTGAGCTTGTGAGGCTGTGTTCAGGAAGACCTGAATGGAAGAGTAATGATAAGAAAGAAGCTGCGGAAGCTGTCAGTGACGAGAGTGAGATTGAGGTTTTGTGATTCATATAACTGGGTTGGTCATAAGGATCTTTAGCTCTCCGTCACAGTATTTTTATTTTGAAAAGGTGAAGCAGTCTGGTCCAGAGACGTTCTGGGCTATGCTGAGTGACTCGCAGGAGGTGTACTTTCTGCAAGGAATGGGTCTATCAACTCTACTCCCACCTCCAATGAACTGTTTCACTGAAGTAAAGTCTACACTTCATTTCTTGATTAAGATTCGGCAAATTTGAGTCACTCAGGGGATTATGTTGATCAGCTGTCAGCTGAATGTGAGCCCACTCCAGCAGCATCGGAATCTATCAAGCCACTTTTGGTTTCTTGACATAAAATAAGTTTTAGCTGAGACCAAAGAGAACAGTTTTTGTAATGAGGTTTGACTGTATTGGTCTACAATAATATCTGCATCAGAATGAATACATCTAAACAATGGTTCCATTCTTGTTTTGTATTTTCTTAGCATAATCATTGCAATTTTCATTTTCTAACATTTTTGCACTCAGCCAAACTATTCCAGAATACTTTTTTTTACTATCAATGTCTTGTCATGCAACTGCAAAGAGAAAAGTAAACTGACGTAATGAAAAACTCAGTTGAAATTCAACAGAAATGTACAGACCTCTTACTTGACACATCAGCTAAGAGATGGTACATACTGGGGCATTAACAGATCAGTGATGTATACATTACATAAATGCAAAGAGCATTACAAATCATTCAATGTCCTTGATAGATATGATTAATTGAATAAAGAAGAGTAAATGCTTATCTACAATAATTGCAAATTATTATGGCAGTGGTATTGTTAGCCTTTTTAAAAAAAAGTTACATAAATCTGAAAAAGTAAGTTAAAAAAACATTGGGCTATTTCACATTGATAATCATAACCCAACTTTATCCAACTTTGGTGGAATACCTTCTGACCCTCCCTTGTGACTTTTAACAACAGACCAGAATCAAGAGAAATCTTACCAACTTATTTATTTTAATTGTTGATAGACTTGAGTTCTATTTCTTCATATTTACTCCACTGTATCTCTGGAACCTGCATCACAAAAACCTTGAATGCACACTGCATTAGTATTAAAGCATCAAGTTACTTATAGACCATATTTTTCAGGCAAATATTTAGACACCTCTGATTGTCATGCTGAGGTGTATGCGAATAGTACAATAAAAAGAGAAATTACAAGATACTGACAAAATATGTGTAAAGATTGTGTAAAGATATTGTTTTGATTTTTTTAAATCTTAATTTCAATGTTTATGGGATTTTAAAAAATATTCATTACAAGAGGTGAAGTTGTCAATCTTACATAGACTGGAGTGTAAAGCAATCATCCATGAACAAAGTCAGCACAATAGGAGTCCTTCACTGCAGCGAGAGGTTTCAAAATATGGTCTATTGGTATTCTTCCTGGTTAGAAACATGCAGTCAGGAAACTTCATTGGTGTGATAACATTTGTCTATCTTTCTTTGTATCCATTTTATCATTCCTCATTTCAATAAGTGGATATAGCTACAGTCAATACATGTATACCAATATTAAAACAGAGTGATAAAAAGACATGTTACAGCGGCATCTTTTCACAAGTAATATATTATCTAATATATTAAAGGACGGCAACATTACCTACTGCACATCAGTGTGAATACAAGTGAACCTTTCCCCCAAGTACTGCCAATACACTTTGTTTTTCAACATAATAGTCTCGCAGAGTTTTCATCAAGGACAATTGACAACTCAATGTCAAAAAAGTAAAACTCAGACCTTTCATTCAACCTTTGAACTTCTGACCAAGTTGTAGAACATGGCAGATGTATGCCTCAAGACTTTGCTAAGTCTAATCTAAAACAGGATCAAACATTAACATCAAATCATTTTAGAACACCAGGTTATCATGTGCTGAATATGTTCAGATGAAATTTGTCTTGGAATTAAAATGCCAAGCTTTACTATCATTCCTGGGTTTTACTAATGACATTCTAGCATAAATGAATGCTTTAATGATATGATCAGACACTAGTTTGTATGTGACAAATAGGCATACACATAGTAACCCCTTCCATCCTATTTTGATAGGCCTAGAGACACGGAAGGGGCTTGAAAACAAATGCTTCTGTGACTGACAGACAATTGTCCCTTTCAGTAGAGTATGGCTGTAGCAGAGAGCACTGGATGATACTCGTCTTAAAATGTGTATCAGTGTTTCAATTGGACATGGCTGGTGGCAGATTGGGGCGCCTGGTTTGAATTATTTTTGGTTTAGGAGAGTTCTTCGATTCTTCCTCATCCTCTGCTTCGCTGTCGCAAACATGGACCACTACACTTGGAGTCGATTCGGTTCCTGCGTGTAATTCATACTTCTCTCCTGCAAAAGAGAATTGGAAAGATTACATATATGATAGCATATTCTTTATTAGTTAAGGAGTGGAATTGCTGTATAAAAACACTAGCTTGATGTAGGTGTTGGAACTCCAGTGTTGAATGGATCATTTATTGGGTTTACCTGGCCATCTCACTTGAAAGATGATTTATTTTTACTGAGGCATGAAAGGAGACTCTGGAACAATGAATGTTCCTGTCTCTTTGACTGTATGCATGTTACATCTGTAAGTGAGACTGCCGAGAACTGGAGTATTTTGGGGTTAAAATTGGCAAAGATATTTTATACAAATCTGGGTACAACATTTTGCTCTTGAAAAAAGTTGTTGATTATAGACAGGGTCAAAGCACAAAGCATTTCTCATTCCACAGCACAATACAGTCATGGTAACATCATCTAAATCCATGTAACATCATCCAGGTCACAGTAATGTCACCCAAGGCCATGGTAACGTCAATTAGGCCATGGTAACATCATCCAAGCCATGATACTGTCTGGTACTATTTCAGTTGTTTCCATCTGCTAGATCATGTAAGCTACGTTACGTAGCACTTAATATCAATATATAGGTTTTAATAAAAACATTCAAGAGTCTCTTAAATCATAAACGATTAGAAATATGTGGGAAAATAATAATTTGACCTGTAGCTAACAATAATTGAATTATGTCCAATAAAGCAATCATATTGATCAAATATAATGAAATTAGTACAGTATATGTGAGGGTCTATGTGTAACAGATCCAGTGACTCACTACAACAACAACAACAAGAAGATTCCATTTATAAAGCGCCTTTCACGTCAGGAGGACGTCCCAAGGCGCTGCACAGTTGGGTCATGACCCGAGCAGGGGGGGGGGAAATGGTCAGGGTGAGGGGAGGGAAGGGAGGGAGCGAGGAGGGGGGAAATGGTCAGGGTGAGGGGAGGGAAGGGAGGGAGCAAGGAAGGGGGAAATGGTCAGGGTGAGGGAAGGGAGGGAGCGAGGAGGGGGAAGAGAGTCGAGAGGGGAGCTGAAGGCTCGGTCAAAGAGAAAGGTTTTGAGACCGGCCTTGAAGGAGGAAAGGGAGGAAGCAAGGCGAAGGCACTGGGGATAGAGTTCCAGAGCACTAGTAGAAAACAGATCATTTACAACACTAAACCTTCAGATTGATAATTGTGCTTGTCTGCTCTCATGCATCATTGTTTCCTTAGTTAACTGTGGCCGACCATCTTAAAAAGCCCACTTTTCAATAATCTCAAGACCTGTCGTATTCAGAGGATGTACTATTCATACGCACGATGCACACTCCAGCAGCAAAGTAATATTCCCAATTATTAAATCTTAAAATGTTCACCTGAATGAATCAGTTCACTTCATTACTGCCAAACTATTAGTGTAGTTAGTGTAAATGAAATACTGCCCCAAACTCTTACAAATAAAAACGTCTTTGTTCTCAATTACTGAAGAACACTGCATATATTCATCTAATGTGAATAAGTTGAATAGGTGTATGTTATATACTGGAATACACTATATTATATACCTTGGGGAATAGTTCTATAACACCAATTTACATAAGGTGGGAATGAGCAGTCTATTGATAGTTCTGGTAAAGAGTCAAAACTCCAAGTGTTAATCCCTCTTTCTCTTTCAGATGCAGGGTGACAACCTGCAGATTTAGGACATGTTTTGTTTTTATTTTTAATGAGAACATCAGGGCTGTCAATGACTATAATCATCACAATGAAAAGATGCCATGGTCACTTATAGGTTTTCACTGCGCTGTCTATGCCCAATACATACATTTCACATCTTTGCCACACACTGTGAATAGAGAGCTAAAGAAAATACTGGAATTCAGTCAAGATTGTGAAAAAATTATCTGAATCATCAAATCACTCCAAAAAACAGCATTGCTGCCACATCCGTAAAACTTTACTTTGCACAGAGCACTTTCAATGCTAGTGAAGTGCTTCAAATTAAAGGCACGCCATTTAACCAAAGTACTTTAGCTTGAGAGAAAAGGCAAAGTTATCGGTTAGAGCACTCGCTTCGCAAACAAGATGTCCTGGGCTTGATTCCTAGGCAGGGCAAAATGCTAGTAAAGTTTCCTTACTCCACACACCTCTGTTTACCTAGCAGTAAGTAGGAACCAAGTTGTTAGTCAATTGGCAGATTTCTTTCCCGGGGATAATAATTCCTTCCCCCAAAAATAAATAAAAATAATAATAAATTAGTCACTCAATTCATGACTGTTTGTGGGACACTGCTGTGTGCAATTGGCTGCTGCATTTCACCCACAAAATATATAGTTAATTCACTTTAAAGTATATTCTGTGAAGCGCTTTTAGATGTCTCGAAGATGTGATAAGGAGCTATATCAAATGCAAGGATTATTATTTATTTATTATTAGAGAAACCTAGATTTCAAAAACACCATTTTGAAAAACAAAGTCTAAATCTGTCCATATTGTACGAAGCAATATACATACAACAATAACAACTTGGATTTATATAGTGCCCTCCACGCCGCATGGCGCCTCAGAGCGCTTCACAGAAACGGGTCCCGGGGCCGAGTCAGGGGGATGGGGAGGAAGATGACCAAAGGTGCGGTCGAAAAGAAAGGTCTTCAGCCAAGACCTGAAAATAGGAAGAGGGGGGGGGGCGAGGCGAAGGGAGTGAGGAAGGGAATTCTTCTTATGCCTTGGGGCGTAGTGGCTGAAAGCAAGGCCGCCGAGGGTGGAGTGGAGGACTCGGGGGATGAGGAGGAGGCCAGACCCGGAGGAACTAAGGCAATGGGTACTGTTTTGAAGAGAGAGGTCAGAGAGGTAGGGGGGTGCAGAGGAGTGGAGGGATTTGAATACAAAGGTGAGGATCTTGAAGTCGATCCTCTCTGGGATAGGCAGCCAGTGCAGTCTGGCAAGGACTGGGGTGACCGGAGAGCGGAGTTTGGTGCGGGTGAGAATGCGGGCGGCAGAATTTTGAATGATCTGGATTTTATGGATGTTAGTGGATGGGAGACCGGCGAGGAGGGCGTTAGAGTAGTCCAGCCAAGAGGTGACAAAGGCATGGAATAGGGTTTCAGCGGCTTTCGGAGCGAGGTACTGGTGAGAAGGGAGATGCGTCAGAGGTGGAAGAAGGCGGTGCTGGTGAGGGACCGGATGTGGGGGAGGAAGGATAATTTGGGGTCGAATCTGACACCTAGGTTGAAGACGGGTTTGGAGAGTTTTAGGGGGAGGTTGGGTAGGTGGAGGAGGTGAGAGCCGTGAGATTTTAGACGTTGACGAGAGCCGAAGGGTATGGCTTCAGGCTTGTCAACGTTCAGCTGAAGGAAATTTGCGCTCATCCAGCCCAGAACATCAGAGGCCTGGGGGTCGCAAAGAGAGATGGAAAAATAGAGTTGGGTGTCGTCTGCGTACATTGGAAATGTACCCCATGTCTGCGGATGACATCCCCAAGAGGGAGCATGTAGATCAGAAAGAGGAGGGGGCCAAGGATGGATCCTTGGGGTACGCCACAGGTAACCGGGTGAGAGTGGGAGGAGAAGCCGCTTGTGCAGATGTACTGCTGGCAATTTGTGAGGTAGGACTTGAACCAGGCGAGTGCGGTCCCACTGAGGTGGATGACGGAGGAAAGGCAGTGGAGGAGGATGGCGTGATTGACTGTGTCGAACGCCGCACAGAGGTCCAGGAGAACAAGGAGACAGAGGGAGCCCTGGTCACAGATAGAGAGGATGTTGTTTATGACTTTCACAAGCACAGTCTCTGTACTGTGGGCAGAGCGGAAACTGGACTGGAACGGTTCAAAGAGGGAGTGGGAGGAGAGGTGTGCGCAAAGTTAATTGGCAACAACGCATTCTCGGACTTTTGCAAGGAAGGGCTGGTTCTACTATCCCCCTACTTACCTGCCCGTACCCTCCGTTACTCTGGCTCCGGTCTGCTCCACATCCCCTGCCCCAACTGCCCTACCATCGGTGGCTGGGCCTTCAGCCTCTCAGCCCCTAGGCTCTGGAACTCCATACCCCAGTGCCTTCGCCGCCTCCTCCCTTTCCTCCTTCAAGGCCGGTCTCAAGACCTTTCTCTTTGATCGTGCCTTCAGCTCCCCTCTCGACTCTCTACCCCCTCCTCGCTGCCTCCCTTCCCTCCCCTCACCCTGACCATTTCCCCGCTGCTCGGGTCCTGACCCAACTGTACAGCACCTTGGGACGTCCTCCCGACGTGAAAGGCGCTCTATAAATGGAATCTTGTTGTTGTTGTTAGAAATGGGGTGGTAGTGGCTGGGGTTTGAGGGATCTAGGGAACGTTTTTTGAGGTGGTAGATGATGACAGCAGTTTTGAGGGGGGCAGGGACTGATCTGGAGGAGAGGGTCTATATATATATATATATATAGATATAATAAAACCTGTTCAAGCAATCACTTCCATTCAGCAACAACACTCTGTTAACAACCACTCTGGAACAGCCTGGATGGTCCAGTTCGCACACCAACAAATCCTTATATAAAAGCCACTTTGCCCCAGTCCCCTGAGTGGTTGTTGAAGACAGATGTGACTGTATATATATGTGTTGGGTTAGGTTGGTACTTTGCAAATCTATGAAGCACGGGCTAAATAAAAGCAGCAGGCACATCCTATAAAGTTAGTCTGAGGATTACAAGTATACACTGATTCAATCTTTGAAGGGTTTTAATAGGCAGTCATTGACGTTGCAGGTGTTTTAGTTTCTTAGTGCTATTTTACAGGATAATGACTTCACTAAATAAAATGTTGTTTTTGAAATCTGTGTTTCCTGTAAAGTATCACCCGAATTCCTTCCAAGGTGGAAAACGTCAGCTCTTATAATCTTACACTTCTTGCATTTTGATATAGTGCTTTTCACATCAGGAGGGAGGACGTTTGTAGGAGGACTTTATCAAAAACAGATTTTAACCTTGATCCTTAAACAAGGATGTTTAGGACTTCAGCAGGTCTGACCCGTCCCCCCCAAATCATATTGAATGACGGAA